TATGTTCTGTCATGCAAATAGCAAGGGCTTAGGAGGCAGGAGGGCAATCTAATCACATTTACAATGTATTTTTCATGCATTGTTATGGTGTAATGATATAAAGAATTAAATGCACACTATAATTCTAGTTCTAGTTAACTTATTTGCACATATATAAGCTACATTTGTTGTATATATTTCTACTTTATCCATGCTATAGCAGTAGAAAATATAAATCTGAATACCTCTATAGTTGAGCATATCGTTAAAAATACGTAATTAGGAAAAGAGATTTCTTGAATGAAAAATCATATCATTTTTTTTGTCAGCTATTCACAAGCCTATATCAGTAAGGGCATCACTTGTTAGTAAGCATATCGAAATTAGTTGAAGTACAAACACTGGTAGTTTATGCTGATGGAAGGTCGCGAGTAGGATGTGCACTAATTGCAATGAATGTCTACAATGGGGAAAAATCATAAACAACAATGTTACAGGAAGTTGTTTAAAAGCATCTTCCTTCTGTGGTTCATATGACACTCTAGATGACTGGTTCATCTTATGTTGTCTTCCTATAAAGGACAGCCAAAAAAAGAGTAGGGAAGCTGATGCCAAGTAAATATTCAATTTCTCTGGAAGAACATCCTTAGCAAAGGAAGTGATGTAGATCTATTCTTCATCTGTAGGATGTTGCTGTTTAACGTGAAACATATCGTCATCACACTATTGGTGTGAAGAATTTTAAAACATTGTTTGTTGCACAGCAAAGCGAAATTTTGCCAAAAATATGTTCTTGTTAAAGTATTGAAGAGAGACTAGCTAAAAAAGATAAAGTTCTCATATGTACATATGTACCTTAAAATGGAAATCGATGTGTCATTTGTCACGACAATTGAACAACAAGAACTTTACAATGTGCAATGTTTTCCTTCAAATTCATTTTATATCATTGCTGAGCATTGGTATTGGATCCATACAGCACTGGGTGCAATGCTGGTGATCTATTGATACAGATATAGTGCACATCAGAATACCCCATAGTAGAGATTTTTAAGAGTTTTTGGGTCAGAGAGGACTGTTGGGGTTAAGAGGGACTTATGTTTAGAGGATACCTTCCTTTATGATACTGTGAACTGTAAGTTCTATCATTCTAAACAAAACTTTTCTAAGCCCCAGGCCATAAAGACCACTTAATATTAAGACCCCGAATTCTAACATTAACTACCTCTAAACCCAAACTACCCAAAACTCAGCCTTACCCTAACACTATAATGTACATTATCTGTATCATTATAAATACCAAAGTTGATAACAGCAGTTTAATGACATTGTGTTATGAATGAAATAACTGCATTGTTACAAGGAAATCCAATTTTAATTTGGACTTTTATCCTATTACCAGAAGCCACTCCAAGACACAACAAGCCACCTTATTCTAATGGAAACATAGTTAGACTCAGCATAGCATACAGTGTTGTTTGGGTCATACCTGAATGCAAACTGGAGATCTGAGGGGTACACGGATAGGTTCTCCTCCTTAGTAGTTGAGAAATAAAACAAGCTAAAAGACCAACTTTCCAATCCGCTTTGTTCATGTAGGTATTTTGGTGAAGCCTTTCATAGAGTGCCTATGGGCACAAAATGTGTTAGACAGTTGGCCTTTTTTGTCATGACCTCTCACTACTTCTTCTAGCTTTTAATGATATAATAAAGCCTCTTGCTAAAACTATTGCACTGAATGTGGCTCCTTTTGTTGGCATTTTCGATAGGGATCTGGCTTGCTTTATTTCTTAAAAAGAAAAAGAGCTGTATTTCCACATTTTGGTAAGCTTAACACAGAGAGTTCATTATATTGAGAAAGGATGATGTTTCAGACGAAAATAACAAAAGTAACTGTTGCATCAGCAATTCTATGAAATGCACAGATGAAAATCTCCTGCTTACAGTATTTTCCTAAGTTAATATCTATGTTTTAAACTAATAACATATAAATCAATGTTAAACATTTAAAGTTTTTCTACAGAAACATATGAATTCAGCATTTACTGTCCATACTGATTAGATATTGTGGAGTTAGATATGGAAAGCTGTTTTGAAGAGGGACTTCAAAGGAAATATAAAAAAATATATAATATACTAGGAATAGACCCCTAAAAGACCTTAATGGTCTGTTGTGACTTTTGGAGCATCCGAATATGGCGGTAATTTATTCATCATTATTCCCAGGTTATCTAGTAGATCATTAGGTACCCTTGAGGAAGAGGTATAAATAGTCAGATAGCTGATGTCTCGGTACCCAGTTATGCTTTATCCTTTCTGAATCTGTTGTACTTATGAGTTCTTGATGTTGCATTGTTTAATTCTGAACATTCTGATTTCTGACTGTATTTCTGGTTTATCCCTTGTTTGCTGTCCAGACTGACATGTCTACTGTTCCAAGTTGCCTTAATTTGTGTTTATTCCTTCTCTTACAAGTTATATGTATTTAGGTAAATTAGCACTAGGAGCCAGGGCCATTGCTTGGTACCAGAAACATCTTGGGATTGACTCAAAGAAAATCTTGATGACCCATACACTAACAAAGAGGTGCGGATTAGTTATTATTATTTTATTATTTATATAGCGCCATCAAATTCCGTAGCGTTGTGCAATGGGTGATCTATCCCTGTCTCTCTGTTCCATCAGTTGTCGGTTGTACAATTAAAAATAAAAGAAACACTAATACCCTCTAACCCCCTCCATGATTTGTAGAGATCTAAGCCTATAGGGACACACATCAGGGGTCTTAAAGACCCCTGTCTATGCTGATTAAATAAGAGTGTTTGTAGAAATGTTTTTAGTTTTACTTTTAAAAAATTGCAGGTATTAGAAGCATCCTGCTGTACATTTAGCCAGGCTCCCTCTTTTCACAAAGCTACTTTTATATTTTGGGTACCTACTCAGCTCAGCCAATGAGAGATCAGTGTGAGCTGATCTGCTGACTTGACTCCGCCCCCACAGCATCATTGTCCTCTTATAATCTGTGTATTATTTCAAAGACGTGCTAAAAGAATAGGTTACAAACTAGAAAAGCTACAATTTCTGGGGAAATTGTGTGAAGTGTTCTTGCCTCCAGCAGTAGTCTACAACTGGAGTGGGCGGAGTAACTGTTATTAGTTATTTATATAGCACATTTAATTGCAACGTTGTTGCCCAAAGTGCTTCACAGTTACATTAAAACATACATTTATAAAAACATTAGCAGGTGTACAAAAGGCCCTGTCTATGACATCACTTGCTGCTCCAGCCTGGCACAGGTCAGAGTATTTTGGCAGTTGCCATCTTCAAACAGTCGTATTTTAAAAGCTATACATCCTACAGCGAAGAGCTTTATATTGTGAGAATCACAAGACCCAGACCTACATTTTGATGCCAGATTGGTTACGTTGCCTTTGAAACCGTATGGTAGCCCAGGAATGAAAATTACCCCCATGATGGCATACCATTTGCAATAGTAGACAACCCAAGGTATTGCAAATTGGGTATGTCTAGTCTTTTTTAATAGCCACTTAATCACAAACACTGGCCAAAATTGGCGTTCAGATTAGTTTTTTGCATTTTTCACACACAAACAAATATTAACGCTAACTTTGGCTAGTGTTTGTGACCAAGTGGCAACTTAAAAAGACTGGACATACCCCATTTGCAATACCTTGGGTTGTCTACTTTTGCAAATGATATGCCATCATGGGAGTAATTCTCATTCCTGGGCTACCATACTGTTTCAAAGGCAACGTAACCAATCTGGCGAATTTCAATATGAAAAAAACGAAAAATTTAACATGCTATAGTTGATCTTGTAACTTCCCAAAACACCATAAAACCTATACATAGGTTTTACACATGAGACATCGCTGAATACAAATGTGTATTTTATTGCAGTAAAATCAAACAGTATTATGACACTCACAGTTAAAATGTCATGTAGAACTAAAAAAATTTTTACAATTCTTATTTTCTCCAATTTTTTTATATTTTATTCATGTTAAATTATGTTTCATACCTAAATATTTGATGTTAAATATAAGCCCTGTTTCCCCTGAATAAAATGATAAATAATAAGTGTGGGTGCATATAATATGAAAGAGGCGAATTACGCCTGAACAGACATATAGCGCAAATTCAAGTTTTTGTTTACGTTTTGATTTGATCAAAACGTGTACATTTGGCTCAGTCCTTAAGGGGTTAATCTGCAGCTTACTGTCTTTTTGGATTGTTACTAATCATATAACTGACAGAGCATTGGCCTTGGTTAATAATATAACATAATAAAAATGCTGTCGCTGAGGAAGAACTTCAGGTAAGCATATCTACCAACACATTCTCCAATGCAGCAGATATGTCCCCAGAGGGGGTCTTTGCAAAAAATGCAAACACCAGTTTAGTGATAACTCCTCTTCCTGACTCTGCAAAGTACTTTCAGAGACCTTCGGTTTACGCAATCGGCACAAACACTGCAGTTTATTGCAAAAAGTTCTAGAATTATAAGAGAGTTAGGCAAACAATTTATTATGATAGATACATTCCTAACACAGACTGTCTTTATAAAATGGTGTCTTCATTTCGCTACTCACTTCCTTCATGAGTAACATAGTTCTAAATCAATACATGTAATAATGTCAAGCAATATAAATAAAATGAGACATTTATATGAAAATAATGATGATATTCGTTTTCTTCAGCCATTTAAGGGCCAGTTACCTGAGGGGTTAAAACTATTTAGCAGTGGTGTGGAATAATTAATAATATCTAGAATGTTCTATTTTAGACAGCAGCCCTCTTGATATTGTGGCAGAGTAAGTCACCCACTCTTGACACAATTTCTTCCTGGACAGTTTACCAAGTAGGATTCAGTGAGCGGGGAAGGAGTGTCTCTGGTAGTTTATTAGTTTATAGAAGGATTGCCCTGCTGAGTTTGAGGAAGGGGTGGGTGTGTTTGGGAGGAGGAGTGCCTTTCTCCGAGCTGGATAGAGCCTGTGAACTGCAGCGTGGGAAAGCATTGCAGACCTGAGGAATAGATGCTGTTGTGAATGTACGTCCAACGCACAGACTGAAACCTCTGGAACTTGCAATCCTCACTCTATGGACACTGCATTGCTCATCATCTGGATGCCAAATCTCTTATCCTGGTGGAATCTGCCTTGCTCTGTGATTGCTCTGGGGCTGGAGGAGGGTATTTAACAGTTTATTGATTTGTTGGGATCTGACTATCTGCCACCTGTAACGATGAAGAGACCCTGTGATGACACCAGTTCTGACAGTGACATGGATGAGACCATTGATGTAGGAAGTGAGAATAATTATTCTGGGTGAGTTTTGTCATTTCATGTAGATCAAAAGGTTGGAAGCAAAGTTTCTCAGGGGTAGAAGTGAAAATCTTCCCCTGGAGCTGGATGAATTAACCTTACTGTAATGTGTTTTAATGTCTCCACGTCACGTTTTAAAGCTTGGGAGCTGAATTGGGGAACCTACTCTCGCTTTTTTTTCGACATTGCTCAATATATATTTACACTGACACTGAAATCTGGGGTGTCATTCTAAGTGGCCTGATCAAGTAATAGTGACTTATAGACACTGAAACAGTGCCATTAACTATTGAGTTAAATTAATTGATATGGCAATAATTCTTGAGACACTAAACAAGAAACAGTGTGAAACATACACAGTGTCCGCGCGATTAAGCAGGGCTTTCAAATTATCCTCTTTATATAATTGTAAAGTGCTACAGAATATGTTGGCGCTATACAAAAAAAATGGTAGCTCAAATATTTAATTTTGGAAATACTGAAATGCATGTGGCTGATTTTCTTTAAATATTTTCTTTAAATGCATATTATAGAAACATTTAAATACATAAAGGGAATCAACACAGTAAAGGAGGAGACCATATTTAAAAGAAGAAAAACTACCACAACAAGAGGACAAAGTCTTAAATTAGAGGGGCAAAGGTTTAAAAATATCAGGAAGTATTACTTTACTGAGAGGATAGTGGATGCATGGAATATCCTTCCAGCTGAAGTGGTAGAGGTTAACACAGTAAAGGAGTTTAACCCCTTAAGGACCAAACTTCTGGAATAAAAGGGAATCTTGACATGTCACACATGTCGTGTCCTTAAGGGGTTAAGCATGCGTGGGATAGGCATAAGGCTATCCTAACTATAAGAAGGCTAGGGACTAATGAAAGTATTTAGAAAATTGGGCAGACTAGATGGGCCGAATGGTTATCTGCCGTCACATTCTATGTTTCTAAGTTACAGTCTGTAACAATATAAAAGCCAAAAGTATATTTATTCGTCAGTGTTAAACATTCATAAATCCTTTATTGAGACTGAAATAACTGCAGTTCTTACTATAGACTGGCACAATCTTATCAGAAACATTATGCAAGGTGTCTCTTTAATTTGTGAACTTTACTAACCATTCCTCCTACAGAGCTGCATTACTTTAATGGAGTTTTGCATTATACTGTAATTCTAGGATAACTTGCTAAAAGTGAAGCAGTAACCTTGGAAACCAATGGAATGTTACTGCTACATGATTCACTCTTAGAACCTTGCACCTGAATTACTCTTAAAGAAGTTAGTTCCATAGTTCCAATTTGCCATCAAAAGATACATATTTTTAGAGTGACTTTTTTTTAGCAGAATGTATGTCAATACAGAATCAAACCATAGGAACTCCGTGCACTAACATTAGTACATATTTGGACACACTGATATGCATTTAATAGGTATTTTGGATCATCTTGTGTTGAGGGGTATATTGAGGGATGTTTTCTAAAGCATTATATTATTTACCCTTTAGTTAATATCTCCTATATGTAATTAATTATTTTTTTTTTTGTACCTCATAAACATTTTGCCCTGGTCAAATCCTAACGCTTTAAAGAGAATGATTTTTCTATAATGATATCTTATGTGGAGTGTGTAAGCCTAAATGGCAGTTAGTAATGTGAATAAAGTTTTATTCTATTGTATATTTGCTGGAGACTGGTTAGAGACCTTCCTGGTTTTGATGTAGAGATTTGTATCAACTCTCTGATAGAGATTTGCCTGTGATCCTCTTAGCAAATTACAAGCCTTTTATAGTTGATGAGATTATTGTGGAAAATAATTTCCATTCTCAAGTAATTGTGGACAGTTGATGTTGACATTGGGTTTACAAATGTGATAAAAGAGGATTAAAAGATAGCTCTACTTTCTCTACTGCAATGATCATTACAACATGTACAATGCGTCAGACATTATGAGGTTTACTTGCTAAGCACTAAATTGCAGTGGATTGAATAGTAAATTGCAGCCAGGCTGTGACTATAGTGGAGTTTGAGAATTCTTTAAAATAACAATGTTTGCCTAAATTCTGCCTGTATGTAGTATACTACTACCTATTTAGCGTTTTATGCGTCTCTGGTGCTTAAATAGAAGAAAAGTATTTTAACTTACTTAGTATTAATATACACGTCTACGCGCTGGTCGAGCAGAAATTATAAGACATGCAATCCCGAACTTGAATAATTCCAAAATGGTAATATACAGACAGAGTTATTGTGAAACAATGCAAAAAGCGGTGTGTTGTGGCTATCACTCCAAATTTGCAATTAACATTGTTACAATTTCAATTATTTATATAGAGCCAACATATTTGCAGTGCTGTACAATACCTGTGGATTGTTCACTTAAAAGTGAGCTAATTTGAATTGTAATTGCAAAATTTAGGCTCAAATAGTCAAGTTGGATAAATAACCCAGCTAGAGAATTTTTCCATCTTGACTATTTTGGCCTAAATTGTGTCATTTCACCCCAACTCTTTAGCAAATCCGCAACTAAGCCTAATATTGAATAGCTTTGGCTGTTGAAGTGTTAAATGACACCGCAGATCTAGCACAATATGTAGTCTCTATTCTGAAACCTGTTTGTTTTAAAGATAAATACTTCCTTGTTCTGGTGTTTTTGTAAGTGCATCTTTTACCCTCTTGTTCCATAGGGAATTATTGTCACAGGGGTTGCTTCATTGATCGGTTACTTAGCTTTAGACAATAAGACTGAGATCTGCCTGGTTTGATATACTGTTAAAAATGTCACACTCGCCTTTGTATTATCAATACAATTGTTAAATTACAAACTGAAGAAATGCTATATTCCCTACATGATTAATTATTAATATTTATGGAGCGCCAACAAATTCCACAGCGCTGCACAATGGGTGGACTAACAAACACGTAATTGTATCCAGACACGTTGGACGCACAGGAACAGAGGGGTTGATGGCCCTGCTCAATGAGCTTACTTATGATGCCTGATTGACGTTGTCATTTAGCACTGTATTTTCATTGCCCTTACTGAATTATAACCATTAAATTATACATATCTTAAACATTTGGCAATCCCATGTTCTTTGTCCTGTAACAAGTTACTAACTAACATACACTATCAATATCAATTTTCATGCAGATCCTTATGATTTAAGGACCTTGAGGATTTTATGTTAATATTACCTAGTTCAATGAAACTCATTTTAGCCACCTTGAAATGATGAAAAGCTAATTTGTACCTGCATCCTTGAGGTTGGAACAGGCAATAGAGGCATTACAGCTAGAGCTCTAATCAACTGAGTTATTTAAAAGACTGTATACTGGGACACCAACAAACAGGAGTATTTCCAATCCTAAACAGACTACAAAAGCACATGCTACATAACTGTATGGGTTTCCACACTCAAATACAATCAGGTTCTATTATTTGTATCAATGTTACCTGATTGTCTGAATTGTCTGGATAGAATAATCTAGAGTTATGTGTTAAACCTAACCACATTTTCATGATGGAAGTTTATAGTCAAAGCCTGTTAATAAACTGTCATTTTTGTTGAGTCCTTTATGTGTTGAATCTGTTGTCATCTTCCTTCACATTGTGACAGAAAAGTGTCTCTTTCTGTTGCATAAAAGTAGGATTTTATCATTGTTGTGATTTGTGCCTGTCAGATTGTGTTAACATGCCCAGTGGAGAAATTCCTAGTGTCACCTCGTCTTCCACCACAAGATGTGTAAATTATTTCTAAATATGTGCTTGCAAATCATCAAATCCCCTTCTTTCCCTTTTTGAAGTAGAAAAAAACAAACCCTATTGACAGGAGCATTTGTTTCCAAGTCTTTATACATCATATACATTGCTATGCATGGCCTTACACCGTTAGAATCTGTCTGGCCTTTTTCAAGAAACAGTTGTTTGCTCATCAACCAGTGGTACTCAAAGCGTTGAAGGCAAGTTTTGTAGACATTCTGTTCAATCTGTAAAGAATACAGACAATGTGAATGTAAATTCTAAATGCTGATTTCTGCAAATAGGTTATTGCAGGCTCTAATGCACTTAAATATTTAATTATTTAACAAGAGACTGACAAGTGGTTCTGACATAACTAGGAATGAATAATAAGACTTGTTTTTCTGCATTAGGGCTTATTCAGCCAGTAATGTATTGTTGTGGGTAACTGACAAGGAAATTGCAGTTTACTTACATTGGAAAACTGTTACCATTTGGCTATTTTGGCCTTAATTTTGCAATTCTCCTGTGAATTCCTCGCGTTCCAAGTTTGGTGATTAAACCCAATTATTATCTTAAATTAGTTGAAATAATTATCAAGGCTCATAATAGCTTCTAGGTAATATGTAATTATAAGAGTATTAGCCACTTTTGTTCCAATACCGATATTAGTATTAAATGATCATTAGGTGCTCCTTATATATTATATATACTAAGACAATAAACCTATGCATTATTAATGTTTTATCTTAAGATAAAGTAATCCTATTATGCCTGAATCTCCAAAGACAATGAATTGTTGCAGATTAGTGGATTGCAGCATGCTAGCCAAAATAGTAAAAAATAAAAAATGTTTTCCCAATTCAGGTATGCCAGTCAATAGTCATTAACACTGCCCTGATAAATGTAAGCATATGCACTGAGCTCCCTATTGTCAATAATGCATGAACTTGAGATGTCGGGTCAAAATGATAATAGTGCATGAAGTGTTTCAGATGATTCGGGACGCACACGAACGCTGGGCTCTTATGTCCTTCCTGACCCCCATTTAGATCCTTACCTGCATATTTGTATCAGTATTTGATGCTCATAATATGATAGAAAATGATGGTCATGAAAACGATCTTTGTCTATGTATCTATTTTATAGATTATTATCATTATTACTACACAAAGAATTTTCTAATTTGTGTCTAATTTTTCTGCTTGTATTTTTAAGTAAAGTTTAGTTGATAATACAGTTACGTTTAGTTGATAATAAGTTTTCGCTTGTATGATGAATAGAATAAAAATAAATGTAATTTATAATTGGCCTCCTTTTTTTCTAACAAACAGTAATAAACAATCCCTGGTGTTACAACAAATTAATATCTCATTTTTAATGCACATAGTGAAATTAATTTATTTTCTGATACGCCTACTCTTACATTATGGTCTGAGTAATAACACTATTTCTTTAATGATTGTGATCATTCTAATAACTGCAAAATAATTTTTTACGTTCTTTTTACATATCATTGAGTGTACTTACAACTTTTCTTTATTGATTAGTAACTTTTATACCACTTAGTAAACTTTAGTATTTCCTAAACACCTCTATTATAGATGGATATTAAGGAGACGTGGCACTTTACTTCAACAGGGAAAGGAATTAATTAATGATTGATAATGGCAAATTGTTTCAGCCCTCAAAAAGGCATTTATCAAGTGCAAAGTCACTTTTGAGGACCAAAATATTGATGATAAAGTTTTTTGCACTAGAGATGAGATCTATGAATTTAATTTATACTTTTTGTAATTTTGCTTTTTCTTTGAAAGTATCTGTGCAATATTAAGTATTTTAGGCATCCACGAAAAGATATCTCAGACAAATATCCCTTGTTGAATACATTTTTGTGTAATGCACAATATTTCGGAGTAACAGGGCACTTGAATGCTGAATATATTTAAGACTAGCTTTAAAATGCATATAATTATTTTACCATGTAATGCCAGGATGCGTTTCATAACTATTACATTAAAAAGATTTCCGAACTCTGTGCTAGGATAAAATGATAAAATTGATGTAATTGTTCGACATCACATGGCACACAAAGCATAAAACAATACAAAAGTGTAGTACATTGCTTTTTTTACTTATTAGTTTTCATATCAGCTTAGAGTACAACAATTCCAGTGTTATTATGTAGAGCCACATTATAAAGTTGATAGCTGCATATAATCACATTGTTTTTATATACAGCAAAGTATTAGCAACTTATCCCACTGTGTTCAGATTTATATCTGGTACTTTAAATTAATTGTCTGACATACCTCAGTGTTAAGGATTAAATTCCCAGAGGTTCATCTTTGTCTGCCATCCATCAGAAATCAGTACTAAAATGTTTTTTTCTTTTATGTTTAAGGCATGATATCAGATGAGCTGATACATGCACAGTTGAGCTGGGAATAATAGATTTGTGCAAATTTGGACACATATCTATAACTTTTTATTCTGGCACACCTGACAAGTTGCTTTTTTTGTATGACAGGCACAGTAGTGGATCACTAATTCGTTCAAATTCCCCTACTACAACCTCACAAATCATGGCCAGGAAGAAAAGAAGAGGGGTAAGTTTATATTTTTTATGTAAATATTTATATATACACATACATATTGAACAATATATTTTTTATTTTATCTTAACCTCATTTTCTATTGTGTAAACCCCATCTCACCGCCCCTCCACTTTTTTTTTTCTTAAAAAAACAAAACAATATTTATGTTAATACTATCTTGCGTTTCATTACAATGTTAAGTTGCATATATGTATTTTTGGTACAGCATGATTCAAACATTCTAAGCAGCTATTGTGTTTAGCTACTATGTATGCAGAATCACCAATTTCGAAACTTACTTGGACTGTATCACCTTTTCTTAATCCCAAAATAAATAATTTAAAATAATCATGTTTACAAATAGATTTTTCAGACACATTATTTGTCCCAGGATATATCCTATAAACTCTTCTAAGAGTATGGTGGAGATTTACACCTGAAAATGAACTTGGTTTACAGATTTAGCAACACAATATGCAAAAGGGGACCTCCCTCTCCATATTTAATGTGTTGTATAGACAACGATTTAAAAATACATTCAAAACATAAAAGAAAATCATCCTTACCAACTAAATGTTTATAGGATTTGTAGCTTAGCCTTAAGTCACACTTCCACTCGTCACACAAGATGAGTGGAACTGCAAAATAAGTTGATAGCAGCGGTAACGTGGTTCAAAGTTTTGTGAGCCAGACAGCATGCAGACATCTCTCATGTCTCCCATTGCATCTGGATGATAGTTGGACAGCAGAGGAAGAAGTACTTTTCCTTTTTTGACACCACTGCTCCTAGTGGCAGAATTAAAACTGGAATTATTTTTGCAAGACTACATTTATAAGTCAAACAGTACTGTGATACAGGGTGCAGTGAATTCTCTGTATTATAATCTGATAATATAACATTGTTACAGTTGTTAAAGTGGCCCTAAACTATTTCAGCAGTGGTCCTAATGTTAAAAAAAAAAATCCACTGTCAAATTGTATTTATTTAAAGGAACACTTTAGCCTTAGGAATAAAAGCATGTATTCCTAGCGCTATAATGTCCCTTCCTAGTTATATTATGGTGTCCTGTCTGCCCGGTTGCCATAAAAATTAAAGGAACTGTATAAGGTCAGGAACACAAACATGTATTCCTGACCCTACAGTGTTAAATAAAACATTTAGCGCCCCTGCCCCCCCACCCTCCCTCAAAAAAAATTGCAAAATCTTACCTTTATTCCAGTAAGCCAATATAGCTCCGCCCCTCATCTGCCTCCTTGGCTGACATAATCAGAAATGATGATCTCAGCCAAATACAATACTTTCCCTGATGATCTCAGCCAAGGAGGCAGGGCGGGGGCGTGACCAAATGTCACCCTGGCCAGTCAGTATCTCCTTATAGAGATGTATTGAATCTCTATGGGGGAAGTTCAGTGTTTCCATGCAGAGAGTGGAGACATTGAATGTCAGCACTGCCCCAGGAAGCACCTTTAGTAGTCATCTGAGAAGTGGCCACTGAAGTTATCCCTAGACTGTAATGTAAACACTGCCTTTTCTCATGGACATGGTATTAAGCTGTAGTTGTTTTGGTGGATATAGTGTCACTGTAATAAATTATTTACTTATGTTTTTTCACCTCAGCGTTGCTCACCTCTCTGCCTTTTGCAACGTCATTGAGGATGGATGGCCTCCTCCACTATCATTCAATCCAATGCTCCTCATACAGGAGCACTGGGGACCTGATGAGCCTATGTGGCACAAGCTTTCCCGTAGGAAGATTTTTTTCAATGCTTTCCTATGGGCTACCGCATATCATTTTTTTACCACTTCAGTTTTGCTGAAGTGCCTCTACTGGCTATCAGTATGACAGTCACTGGAGGTGGACTTAACCGTACAATGCAGGCATTGCAGTTTCTAAAAATAGCAGTGTATTACAATTGCAGGGTTAAAAGGACAGGAATACTGTACCCAGACCATGTCATTAAGATGAAGTGTCCTGGGAGACTACAGTGTCCCTTTATATATATGCCACCTTTAGATTAAGTTGTTTTGTTGCATGGATGCTCCTTTAAGTTAAAGGAACATTATAGTCACCTAAATTACTTTAGCTAAATAAAGCAGTTTTAGTGTATAGATCATTCCCCTGCAATTTCACTGCTCAATTCACTGTCATTTAGGAGTTAAATCACTTTGTTTCTGTTTATGCAGCCCTAGCCACACCTCCCCTGGCTATGATTGACAGAGCCTGCATGAAAAAAAACCTGGTTTCACTTTCAAACAGATGTAATTTACCTTAAATAATTGTATCTCAATCTCTAAATTGAACTTTAATCACATACAGGAGGCTCTTGCAGGGTCTAGCAAGCTATTAACATAGCAGGGGATAAGAAAATCTTAATTAAACAGAACTTGCAATAAAGAAAGCCTAAATATGGCTCTCTTTACAGGAAGTGTTTATGGAAGGCTGTGCAAGTCACATGCAGGGAGGTGTGACTAGGGTTCATAAACAAAGGGATTTAACTCCTAAATGGCAGAGAATTGAGCAGTGAGGCTGCAGGGGCATGTTCTATACACCAAAACTGCTTCATTAAGTTAAAGTTGTTCAGGTGACTATAGTGTCCCTTTAATATGGATATTGCATGGTGTGTGTGTGTGTGTGAGTATATGTGTGTTGTTTTTTGAACATTTGTTAGAACATTTGTGGTTTCAACATTTAAAACAAACTTCAGATACATGTGATATAGTTCAGCATTGTAAAATGTATATATTCACCTTATAGATAGATATAGGATAAGGGTCAAGGGTCATAAAGGAAACTCAAGGCACTGGAACCACTTTTAAAAGAACTCTACAATATGTCTACTTGCAAAGCTGGAGTGTGGCCCTCCACAGAGAAGCAATGGGAAGCAAGGAACATGCACAGCAATCACAGTATTGTGCTTACAATGTTTCTCTATTAGAAGCAGAACCTTCCATTTTCCTATCAGTTCTGGGATTGGCATCTAATAGGGTGCAATCTTGTCACTTTAGATAGTCTCCACCTTTATAAAGTGACTTAAAAGGGACACTCTTTTAACCTAAAGCAATTTAGGTTCATAATCTCCTTCTCTTAATTTCTCATAAAGCCCAAAACACTGCAGCACATCTGAGAACAGAACAGGAGCAGCCAGAATCTCACTAAATGAAAATAAATATTATTTCAAATGCTTTTTTGGGGGAGGAGGGTATTTCTTTCTTTTTACTATCTTTGATAGAGCACACAATAAAATGAAGTACCTGAGCTGATTATGCCTGGTCTGAATTGCCAGGGTCCTGCTGAGTGAACATAATTTGTTTTAACCCTAACTCTAATCCCTTGCTCTCTCGCTTCCAAGGGGATGTAATAGAAACTGAATAGGAATGTGGTAATTTGCTACAGTCCCACCATCCCATTGTCTAACATCCCAAATTTGAATGTATGTGATGCTCAAAATGAGTAGATCACTTAGTACCCAGCATTTACCTTCAATAAAAAAAATCAACAATGCCACTTATATGCATGAGCCGAATCTGTGGCTATCTCCACTTAAATTACAGGTTACTCATTCAATAAATGTCAATGCCAGTTCACAGACAAATTGCACACATGCAACTGTAATAGCGCTTCTCTGAACAGCCATGAGCACACATGTCCTCTAAAGTCTTTAGGATTTCATTAGAGACTAAACACTAAAGTCATTCTTGGCCAATCCTCAGCCTGGAGAGGAGATGAATCAGGTAATTTGTAAAAGCTGCATTGAGGGACAGTGTATGGAGAGTTGGAGAGTAATTTTTTATTTCCATAATGTTTTATATTGTTTAGAATGCAAAAGATATAATAATATCCAGAAATTTTATATATATATATATATTTTAAAACGGTCTACTCCAGCCTAAAATAATACTGTAATGGGTCTTGCTTTAGGTCTCTCTGAGTGGCTATTCACTTTTCAATAAAACGCAGTAAGATTTAAATAATATCGATTTTTGTTAAGCAGAATAATACAATTTTAGAAAGTTTTATATACAAGTGATTTACCACTCCGAAGTATATGCAGAGGTGATTGTGGCTAATACACAAAACGTTTAATTTCCTCCTCGTATGTCTTAGCACATTCTCAGGCACATGTATTGCCAACTGAATTATGTGAACGAGCACTTACACTACCACATTCGCCATTATGTTCCTTTTAGAGGGACACTATAGTCACCAAAGCAACTAGTTTAATGAAGCAGTTTGGTGCCATTTCACAGTTTACTATGCCATTTAGGAGTTAAATCACTTTGTTTATACAGCCCAAGTGACACCTCCCTGCATGTATCTTGCACAGCCTTACTAAAACGGTCCTTAAGGACCGCGCATGTACCTAATACGTCCACGGCAAATTAGCATGCTGGAAGCAATCATGATCACTTACAGCCGCTCTGATGGTATTGCAGGGATGGCTTGATGTCGAGGCATCGTGCAATACCCCCTCTCACTGCCGGGCCGCTGGGTGATCGCTCCCCTGGCCAAATTTAGCGTTCGTATTTGTTTTTGTGTGAAAAAGGAAAAAACTAATATTTACCAGTGTTTGTGACTAAGTGGCTACTAAAAATGACTGGACATACCCCATTTGCAATACCTTTGGTTGTCTACTTTTGCAAATGGTATGCAATCATGGGAGTAATTCGGTCTCAAAGGCAACATTACCAAACTGGCAAATTTCAGTGTGAAAAAAATGAAATGCAAGCCTTATATTTGACTCTCTAACTTTCCAAAATACCATAAAACCTGTACATGTGGGGTACTATTATACTTGGGAGACTTCACTGAACACAAACATTAGTGTTTCAAAACAGTCAAACATACTACAACAATAATATTGTCAGTAAAAGTGCCATTTGTGTGTGAAAAATGCAAACAGCTTCACTTTTACTGAAAATATCATCGTTGTAATAAAATTTCTCATTTTGAAACACTAATATTTGTGTTCAGCGAAGTCTCCCGAGTAAAATAGTACCCCCACATGTGCAGGTTTTATGGTGTCTTGGAAAGTTACAGAGTTAAATACAGTGCTTGCGAATTAAATTCTCTGCACTTTCTGCTTGGGTTGTCAGGCACATCAATCAAATTTTAATGAATTCAATCAATTATGTTAGAAAATTTTTTTAAATATACACGTAGAATTTTAATATATATATACATATATATGTATTTAAATTCTACGTGTATACTTATGCAAACATTTATGTAATTATATATATATATCTATATAATTATTTGCAGTTATTCGTATTTTATATATATAGATATATATATATATATATATATATATATAGAATGTCATTCTAAGTGTATTTTGTTACCAATATATATTAATAAAAAATACAGTTAGAATGAAATTACATATGTATAAATAATTTATTAAAAATTTTTAACAAATATTTTATTTATTTAGTTTATTTTATTTAATATTGTAATTACACGTGTGTATATATATATATATATATATATAAACATTATATATATATATGTAACTTCATTCTTAGTGTATTTTAATACTAATATATGTACTTATATTAGTTATATATATATATATATATATATATATATATATATATTAATTTATTTTAACATGTGTAATAATATTATTTTTTTTTTTACTTTCCCACCAGCAGGGGGACTGCCTGACAGCACAGAAAATCCCCCTGCAGGCAGATCCACAGCCAGCTATAGGGGGCCATGTGATCGCTTTGAGCGATCACATGGCCCCCAGGGGCCTGATTTGCCATGGCAGGGCTGCCTGGACAGTCCTCCCGAAGAGGATCGCTGTGAAGGTAAGTACCGCGGACCACCAGGGGCTGAAAGTCGTTACGGCGTTCCATGCCACCGTAACGGCTTTAAAGCCCATTATAATGGGGACGGCACAGAACGCCGTAACGGCGTTAAGGGGTTAAACATTAGTGATTGGATCATGGTAAGTCAGTACCTTCAGTGTTACTGTTTCAAACACCTACTCATGCTGATTTGTTGTTAATTGTATGTGGACTATTTGCAAACCCAGCAACTCTGTTCCAGGCTGCCAATGTCAATTCTGGTCATAAAATACAACTGTTATCAGCACACACTGCACGCTGCCGACAGACGTGGTAATCTTCCCCTTGCAGGCAGAGTGCCTGCAAGGAGAAGATTGCTACCCCTTCCACCCTCCTTCATTGTAGCCCTTCCACCTCCCTATGCCATCCGATATTTATTAGCTCCATTGTCTACATATTCTGCCATAAACACACAAACACACACACAATCTCACTCATTCTCTCTCACTCACCCACCCACCCACTCACACACTTACTCATTCAAACAAGCAGCAATCTAACTGCATACCCCTGTAGATGTCTGAGTGCTGGGCACCCCGCAAGCAGAATGTCCAGAAGCATGCTGGACATATTGAATAAGTGTCTGTTAGTCCAGCAATCAGGCAAGTGTTGGAATTCATACATGTACTTTTTGCTTTCTGAGTTTGTGCTCACATCATGTCCCAAGTGCTGCTGTGTTACTTCAATAAAATCTATACAATGTTGGTGTATTAGTAATATCTCATCTATGTTCAATATTGGTAGCAACGGGTTTAACAGCTCCTTGAGCACTAATCTACATTTTTGTTGTGCATTATTTATTATTGGAAAATGTACTAGTGAACGGGTTAATGTAAACTTCTATTGATGTTTATCCAAACCAAATGCTACATTTAGCTGGGGCCTTGCTCAATGATGCCTACAGTATTACATTTCACATGTATATTTATATGATGAAGGATTGCGCAAAAACTAAAATGTTAACCTTGAAGAACTTTTTGCCCTGCCTATTAACTAAATAGGAGCGTGAACAGAGAAAGTTTTTGACTTGCTCTAGATTTAGACAATATTTATAATTGTGAAATTGCCCATCTTGATCTGTTACTGTCCAATGAAAAGAAAAAATATCCAAAAATTAAAACTGATTGGTTAGTTGTAATATATCCAGTCATTATATTGTGGTGTTCCCAGTGCTATCTTACCTAACATAGAGGGAATGGTGGATTAGAGTTAGAGTTCAGATGGTAACATCTGGTTTCATATACTCAATGAGACTTCATTCTTGACACTTCTCTTAAATTAGCATTTTCAATCTAGATTATAGGATAGTCTATATTTATGTAGTGTATTGTTGAACTTGTTTTTCTACTAATGTTATTTGCGGGCAGTGTATTATTGGATGCTTGAACAAATTATTTTTGTTTATTTTAATTTCTCATTTATCGACATTCTTTGCTAGACACAAATGGAAGCAGAATTTGTTCAAGGTGGCAGGCTTAAGCCTTTAAGCATGGTTTAAAGGAATACTAGAAATAAATAATTTTTTATACTTTTTTAACACACTAGGCTAACTTGTTGTTTTGTTTTTTTTTAAATCATAAAAGAAGCCATAAACTAACCCCCAATTAATAACTAAAATAAGTCTGTCTCCTCACTGCTTGCCGATTCTCCTCTGATGAAGTCAAGGCTGATGACATTTGCCCAGTCAGATGATTCTCATAGAAAATCATTGACTTCACACAGAGAATGGCATCGTCATACTTTGCATGCTGACACCAGACATGAAATAGATTCAGTAACTGGCTCTAGTCAAAAGTTCCTAATGGCTGTCTGGCAGCACTAGTAGGTGGGGAAATTGCGAAATGCAAACAATTCTGTTTTTTAGACACAGCACTATTTGCAGCACCAAAGCAGCATTTGTGTCAAAAAAGTGAAAAAATCCTTAAAGTGATTTTAGTACTGTCCTTTTTATAAAATATCTCCCAGAATGATGTAATGTGCAAAATAAAAATTAAATTCATGTTTTTTTCAAAGTGCTTTAATTAATATTTTTTTTGCTTGAAAACCAGATTTAAAAATATTTTAACAATTTCTTCATTTATTTAAAGTTTTTACAGAGTAATTAATATTAAACATGAATGCACTTCCATAACAAATACAATAATATGGCAATATTTTATATTTATATTTTTTATATGTGTATAATCATATTCCCCCTTCTAAAATAGCCTGATTAGAATGTAATAAAAAAGACACATTAATTTCTGTTACTTTAATGCATTACAACTTCCATAGAGCCTGTACTGCATAAAAAAAGTAGGTGGACGAAATGGGAAAAATTGCATTTCACTTCATCCTTAATAAAATTGTCTTTACATCATGTTTAAGAGATATTTCTGTTTCAGTTTCATAATTCCTTAGCCAAGTTTATTTACAATGCAATAACATACATTTTTAAAAATGCTAATTGTATAATTATTATGATAGCCAGGTCTATGCATTGAAACAAAAAATGATGGTATCTTTTAAAAGATCTAAAACATTTTTAAAAATTTACTCCAAAATATTAAATGTCAGATACTGAAAACATCTAAAGCGTGACCGATTTTTTTTTACAATTTCTCTTCTTCTGCTTTTCTAAAGGTTCGCAGAAATTGCTTTCAGCTAACCACAATAGTCTGTCCAATAAGTACACCACAGGGACTGAGAACTGTGACTTTTTTTCCAAACTGTTCTAGTCTAAATGCTGTGTATTACATACCCCAACTCCCGGTTTAGTGAACACAGTCCTGTGATAGAAGATTTCAACAGATCATCTCATCAGTGCATCAGTGCAGAGTTTGAAACTCAGTGCGTATAGAAACCAAAAACCAAAAAAGTGTAATATGAGTGTGGTGAAATGTGGAGTTTTTTTACTAAACACTTGTTTCAGAGGATAGTCCTTAACAAGAAATATATTTTTTAAATGGTTGCATTAAATTTGTCATATCTGTAAAGATCTGTATATCAGCAAAGTTACAAAATGCACTGTGTTTAATTAATCTTGAATTGAATTAAAATGACTGAAGAGTTCACATTTAATAAGGGATGACTTATTGAATGCTCTGTAGAGGTTTTAATGTCCCGCAATTTGTCAAACCTGTCCTTCTGTGGGTGATGCAACCTGTAGTTCAACAAGACCAATTCACAGTATACAATAATCAAATTAAAACGTTGTAAAGCTAAAAACCTTTTGAAAAAGTTTATTTTATTTATTAAATGTATAGTGTCTCCTACCACCAACAGTTTAAATTTTAACCATGGAGATAAGCATATAACATACGTTTTCTGATCTATTTGTGCTAAAATAAATGTCTGAGATTTTCTGTTTACCAGTTGTTTAAACGTTTCATTCTAATGTCTGATTTAGCCATTCACACAACATTTAAAAAAATATATCATATAAGTAACCCTTACTTGAAACAAGCAGAAATTTAGGGGATTATCCATTAAAATAGTTAAGAGATGAATGACAAAATAGAAATGCCAACTTTCCTAATTCAAGCTACATCAGCCTATGTTTTTGTAAATTAGTTGTCAACAACTCACAATAAACTGTTGTGAGTGCACCCCAACGTCTCAAATATGACAAAATTGCAGCTCATCACTGCAAAAACAATAGTTGGCAACAAATGATGTGAGGAAATGAAGCTTGGCCTTTTTTTTCTTTCAGTCTATTTTCCCTTTTAATTACAGCTCTGTTCTGTGGTACGTGCATGTATGTGAGACTGGCGCATACCATTTAAGATGCTTTCCGCTATAAATGTGTAATGAGTTAAGGTTGATCCGGTTAAGTTTGTCACTGATTGTTTCTCTCTCAACAGATCATAGAAAAACGCCGGCGTGATCGTATCAATAACAGCCTGTCTGAATTAAGACGACTTGTGCCGACCGCTTTTGAAAAACAAGTACGTTTTCACTAAATCATTTTTATTCTCTACGCCTAGGATCTGGGAATTGCTGGTTCTCTTCTAGGCTCATTAAAGTAATATTGCATGTGGCCTTATCTGGCACTGAATATGCTTTTCAATTAAATGCTTTGTTGTGGCAAAACTGTTAATATGTAACCTGATCATGAAAGTGGGTAAAAAAAAAAATTCCATTTTGGTTGCCTGTGCTTTTCCCCTAGGGACATAGTCATTCATTTTGTCTCAGATCATCTTAAAGAAATGTTATGGCTGCTTTGTAACAGAAAGAAACATAATGGGCAAAAAATATTAAAATAAGAAAAATAGGAGAGATTTTATTCCAGTGAAAGAAATGCTTGCAGACTCTTTAATCATGGTCTTCCATGTGTTGGGGCAAGAGGGAATGTTTTCTGCTGCTTGGAATGAAGAACAGTCAATTAAAGTCCAGAAATTGATAATGTGCTTCCTCTCAGCCCTTGAACAGGGCACTGGATTATGATGTCATGTTCTAGTACTCAGCTTCATTAAGTTACACAAGGATGGTTCGGGTATGCATTTTAGAAGTCTGTGGAGTCGATACACAGCTCCCTTCCTATCCATCCAGGTAAAATAAGCAAATAGATGACAATGACATATTTCCTGTTTACCTTGTCCTTGTCTTTTAAGGCCCACATTTAGTTTTTGTTTAGAATTCTGCACAGAGCACTTTTCACTATTTTATAATACTATTCTTGACTACGTTGGAATTTCATTAAAATTACAACCCATTCCAAAAATACCATAAGACATAGTAGGCACATCTTTGTATGATAGCAAATTGGACGTTTAAATAAGTTGACAAAAAAGCAGAGCTGACCAGTAATGGCTGTGGGATTCATTTATGATCTCGTTCAACACAAGATGTCATCTGTGGAAACTCACAAGTTCTCACGGTATCCTCCATAGACCTCAGTGTTGTACTCTCCTGCATGCAAATTAAGCTTCAGGAGCTGAAGAAGACCAAGAGGAAGAAGATAGGACAGCTTCAGGTAAGTAAAACGTATCTTCCTGTGCATTCCTCAGCCCCGCTACCTAAGCAAAGATGTCCTAATCAGGGGATTTGTCTAAATATGCAAAGATTCACAAAAGATATAGATCCACTTCAGGTGTATACATTCAAATAGGGGTCAAATTTAGTGACAAGGGATCTACTTTTTGGTAGTCAGGTTACCATGATCTACCATTATTAACACTACATAAATGACCCCATATATATACACTCTGGTACAAAGATAAATATATACAGCTATGTCCAAACTCTCCTATGCATACACGAATACAGGCATATCTACACTTTACGTGCCTATTTAGTCATCCCACATTCTCTGATACATACGGATGGTCATACTCACATCCTCTCATCGTATGCTGTATAAGACATACAGTTTAAGATGTATGGGAATGTGTTGGTGTACCTATATGAATGGAACTTGCTATGTAGCAAAATGACTAGGTGTTTCAACCCGAGAGTGAATTTTGTGGGCCATTAGACATATATTGACTTAAAGGGACTCTCCAGTGCCAGGAAAACATATTAGTTTTCCTGGCAATGCAGGACCCTGCAGTGCCCCCCTCCCTCTCACCCCCATCCCATGTTGCTGAAGGGGTTAAAACAGCTTCAGTGACTTACCTGAGTCCAGCGCTGATGTCCCTCGGCACTGGGTCAGGCTCCGCCTACTCTCTTCCCCTGCCAATATCAGCCAGTGGGGGAGACCTAATGTGCATTAGACTTCCCCATAGGAAAGCATTATTCAATGCTGTCCTATGGGGATTTCGGCAGTGCTGGAGGTCCTCACATAGCGTGAAGACGTTCAGCGTTGTTTAAACACTTTTCGTGTTCTGTGAACAAGGAAGTCCCTCTAGTGGCTGATAGACAGCCACTAGAGTAGGACTTAACCCTGCAAGGTAATTATTGCAGTTTATAAAACTGCAATAATAATACTTGCAGGGTTAAGGGTGGTGGGAGTTGGCACCCAGACCACTCATATGGGCAGAAGTGGTCTGGGTGCCTGGAGTGTACCTTCAAACAAACAAAAGGGGGAATGGAGGTTGCGCCAAGAAGTGAAAACCAGTATATGAGTAGAGATAACAACAAAAGGATACAAAACCAAAGGATAAAAAACAAAATAGGTTTAAAAAGTAATAGTAATAAAATTTCCAATTTAAAGTTCCCATAAAAACTTGCCTCTAGATATAGCCTCAGTTCTGTCAGGGAAATTATTCTATAGAGAGACAGATCAAGGTAGTCTTAGAAGCTGTATATAAAAACAGAGAAAAAAGACTAATAGTGCTATATATCCCAGAAGAAGACAATATCAATAAAACAAGTCCTATATAGTCCTACTCATGTTTTTTAGAGATTAAAACCAGCTCTAGTATGAATAGCGTACAGTGGTATAATACCCATTTATAAGATACGTGAGGAGATGTTGATAGGCAGGTGTTTGCTCAATATGAAGACCATAAAGGGTTAAAAGAAACAGCAATAGTGGTCACCGTATAAAAGATGCCAGGAGTATAAAATAATGATAGGTTACTCACATTTGATTAAGCAGACAGACTGCTCAAAGTATAAGGTGTAAGTGGTATAATCCCCACCTTGGATTCCTTAGGAATAGTCCTCACTGGAACAGTGAAAACGGATGCCAGGTAGAAGATAAAAAAATAAAATGATAACAAATAAAAAGTAAAATGGCACACTGACAATTGAAAGTAGAAAAAATACCTTTATTCATGAACAATATTAAAATAAACAATATAAAATATCCACAACGCATTTCACCATCAAGGCTTTATCAAGTGGAAATAAAACATCTAACCTGACAAGGGTTTTATAGGAAATATAAGCATGGCAAATTTTAAATTTGGCGACAAAATGATGTCAATAATTTATTTAATAAATTATTCTATAAAACATATGGTAAGTAAATGTAAGATTGTGTGGTTATGTATTTACTTAAAGGGACACTTTAGACACGAAAATAACTTTAGCTTAATGAAGCAGTTTTGGTGTAAAGATTATGCCCCTGCAGTCTCACCGCTCAATTCTCTGCCATTTAGGAGTTAAATAATTTTGTTTCTGTTTATGCAGCCCTAGCCACACCACCCCTGGCTGTGATTGACACAGCCTGCATGAAAACAAAATGATTTCATTTTCAATCAGATGTAAATTACTTTAAAAGTTTTTATCTCCTGCTCTGTAAATTAGGCATTAAAGGACCACTATAGTGCCAGGAAAACATACTCATTTTCCTGGCACTATAGTGCCCTGAGGGTGCCCCCACCCTCAGGGTCCCCCTCCCACCCGGCTCTGGAAAGGGGAACAGGGGTAAAACTTAACTTTTTCCAGAGCTGGGCAGGGAGCTCTCTGCCTCCTATCCTCCTCCGTTCCTCCCCGTCGGCTGAATGCACACGCGCGGCAAGAGCTGCGCGCGCATTCAGCCAGTCGCATAGGAAAGCATTATCAATGCTTTCCTATGGACGCTTGCGTGCTCTCACTGTGATTTTCTCAGTGAGAATCACGCAAGCGCCTCTAGCGGCTGTCAATGAGACAGCCGCTAGAGGCTTTGGGGGAAGGCTTAACCCATTTATAAACATAGTAGTTTATAAAAAAAATGGGTTAACCCTAGCTGGACCTGGCACCCAGACCACTTCATTAAGCTGAAGTTGTCTGGGTGCCTAGAGTGGTCCTTTAACTACAAACAAGAGGTTCCTGCAGGTGCTGGCAAGCTATTAGTAGAGCAGGAGATAAGAAATTCTAAATTAAAAAGGATTTGCAATAAAGGAAGTGTAAACATAAGACGATTATTAACTGGAAGTGTTTAGAAAGGCTGCGTAAGTCACATGAAGGAAGGTGTGCCTAGGGCTGCATAAACAAAGTGATTTAACTCCTTAATGGCAAAGAATTGAGCAGTGAGACTGCAAGCGAGTGGTCTACACACGAAAACCGCTTCATTAAGCCAAAGTTGTTTTGCCGACTTTAGTGTAGTTTTAAGTCCGGCCCTATTATAGTTGTCACATTATAACATGTCCAGTATAACATGCTGAGAGAGTAATAACACCTGCAAGTGCTTATTTTCTAATAACCCTTTGTACATTATGGAAACAGCAAGTGTTTGTAGGTTGTAGCAGAATGCTTCTCTCAATACTACTTCCAGCGCTTTTTCTGTAAAGTTCATCTCAGTTAGGACCAGCCCCATCACTGAGGTTCCATCCCATGACTGCAGAGTGCTGGAACCTCCTCTGATTATCCTCTGATTTCCCTCCCATGGCTGTGTGATCTCTTTACACTATGTAGTTGTGGTGCAAGCTGCTGTGTGCTCAATACAAATGTAGGATATGGCATATTTGTCCCCACCTCTCACACAGCACTCTAGCTTAAAGCTGGCATTTGAATACAGCCTGTCACGTATTCATCCGCACATTAAAATGTGGTTAATGGCGTTTACTATCTTGACATGAAAAGTTGTGCCGAGCAACATTACCGTCCTGACAGGAAAAGTTGTGCCGAGCAGCAATCATGCACATGGAAACCTGGTAATTGCCTTTGGGGTCAAAGTCCGGTTACAGCCAATCGGATCCACAGGAGGGGTATTTAAACCCAATTCTCCTCTTGCTCATTGCGCTGTCGTGGTTTCATGCCTATGGTTATCACAGAGTGTGTTCCTGATCTTGATTTTCTGGTATTTGACTTTGGCTTTGGTTTGACTTCACTGATATCTAGAATCCTTGACTTTTGTCTTTCCCTCATCTTTGTGTCTGATTCTGTGTCCCTGACCTCGCCAAGTATTTTGACTATTCTTGGAGACGTTAAGTCTGGCCATTCTAAGGTCCGGTTATACATTATCCTTAGTCCTAGGTGTGACACAGTACTGCGTGCTGGATCAACCTGTACTCCTGACACAGCCAGAGAGAACAGCCAACCCTCCCACAGCTCTTAGTGAATGGACCGACCATACTTCCCCCACCTCCTCACCACACCCAGTAGAAATCATGAAGACCATGGCTGCATGTATACAGAATGTGCCAGCTACACACGTGCGATAAAACAGTGTGTTCTCACAGGTCTTCTGGTAGATCGACTATTTGTCCAAACCATTAAAGGACCACTATACGCACCCAGACCACTTCAGCTCAATGAAGTGGTCTGGGTGCCAGGTCCACCTAGTGTTAACCCTGCAGCTGTAAACATAGCAGTTTCAGAGAAACTGCAATGTTTACACTAGGGTTAATCGAGCCTCTAGTGGCTGTCTCACGGACAGCGCTAGAGGCGCTTGCGTGCTTCTCACTGTGAAAATCAGCCCGACGGGAGGGGGCCATGAGGTTGGGTGGACCTAAAGTGCCAGGAAAACGAGTTTGTTTTCCTGCCACTTTAGTGGTTCTTTAACTGTTACCAGAGTTATTTGAAATTATTTGATAGATATTGAAGTTCTAAATGAAAGGGTTACTGCAAGCATCATATCCACTACAACCCACTGTAGTGGTTATGATGTTAGGTGTATCCTGGTGGCCTCTCCTGGCATGGGAGAAACCATTTTGCAATTATTAATTAAGTTCATACAGTATCTGACTCCATTATCTACTAGGCAGAGGGGAGGGATTGTATGTTTGTATATGGGAGTGTCATGCATTTAAACACTGTTGTAATTGGTCTGTGACTTTATATTTTAGTTCCCCACAAGGTACCCCTTGCATGGGGATTGTCATAAAAGGCCAAGTGTGGCACCATTAAAGTCTGTTCTCTTCACCTTCAACACGCAACCTTGTCTTGTGTTGAAACAAAAAGTCAAATTTTAAATGTATCAAATGCAATATGGAAAAGGAGGCCAGAAGGTGTAAGAAAATGTTCATCTTTACAATAGTGATATTGGCAGTCATGTGTCTACTCAATTGGTTGTTGTACATTTTTCTTTTTTGTGCACTTGGAAATGGAAAGAATATCAGTTAAAAGTCTGTAAATTTGACAACACTTGTTTTCAATGGGGGTTGAATACTTTTGATTACAGCTATGTGTAAAGCTGTAGATTGTGGCCATTGCATGTTATGCAATATTCTAGGTGTTTGCATCTAGGGAATTTATAGAAAGACATTAACATTGCAAATTAAGTTATATTTTAACCGATCATATCCATCAAACATATGTACATCTATTTTTAGCAGTGGAATACTGCCTCTTCTAAAGGCTTGATTTATAGCGCATTAATGCATGGGCAACAGGGCTTTGAAATAGATTTTCTCCATGCATTAGAATGCATTCTTATATACCTGCATTACAAATCTTAAAGGAAGACTCCAAGCACCATAACCACTACCGTTCACATTGTATATCAGCACTGTGCGTCTGTTTGAAAATGTGTCCTCCAATACCAGGACAGCAGGTCTGTCGAAATGTGTCCCTTACTTACAGCACTGTGTGTGTCTGTTGCAGCATGCTGTCAGAATAGCTCAGGTTTCCAGGTATAGTTCATATAATTATTGTCTTGTCTAGTATCCCAAAGGCTTTTTGAAAGTGGCTTTTTATTTTGACAATTGTAAAGATTTCATATTTTAGCATAGCAGGGGCACAGTGTAACCCAGACTAAACAGTCTTCTGTATACGGAGTAGTACATAATTTGCAAGATTTCTTTGTAGCTATGTCACTGCCAAGGGGGGTTTTGCCACTCTGAAGCTTAAACATGCTTATCTATACGTTGTCTTGGGAATATTTGGATAGAAAGGTTTCTTATTGAGGTTTTAAATACGGTATGCTGTGCAATCTGCTGAAATCCTGGAATAATAGCATTCATTCATGGCACAGATCTATTTAAATATATGGAATACTCACAATTTTGGAAAACAGCATACAGGCCCTTAATTGAAAAATAAAAAACAATGTTCCTTAGAAGTATAAAAATAGTCTATGTAATAATTTCTATATTGCAAGTTAGATTGTTCTTCATAAAACCACACAAATTACACAAATCCTTCTTGTGCTGTTTTAATTCAGCGGTATTTTTTCCATTTTTGTTAATACACTGTATGTTTGCCAAAGAGACATATGATCACCATTAAACTTCAATACCACACTTCAAGTATAAATAGGAACTCCAGTATAAGATGTATATTCCCTCTGGTGACACATAGAAATCAACGATATACAACATGACACGTACAATGAAAGTCTTTAGAAGCCACAAGTTAAAAGCTCATCTAATGCACATAGGAAGTCTGTTTCTAGCTGAGCATGCTTGATGTGGTTACCCAGAGTTCTACACAACCAACACAGCACATGGAAATAGCAAAGACACAAAACATGACTACAAGAAAATTCACATGCATGCTTTTAAGCATTTTAGTCATTTATTTTTCAAAAAGGGGCGGGGGGGGAGGGATTTAGGACATGCCAATAGTGACAAGGCGACTTTAAAGGAACACTATAGTGTCAGGAATGCAAACATGTATTCCTGACACAAAAGTTTTAAAATCACTGTTTAAGTCCCCGCCGGTCTCACCATGGCTTGCTGCACCTCGCTCCGTCTCCTTGGCTGAGATCATCAAATTTGATAGTTTTTTTTTAAACCCAAACAGGAACTTCTATATGATAATCTTCCATGCAGAATCTGCACTATTTATTTGTACAGTACATGATAGATTGACCCTTTATTTTCCAGGTTCTAATACTATTCCATTTTGATAAAACCCTAGTGGTGAAACGCATTAATGGTTTTAAATATTGTGTAATTTATATAATAAAAGATTTTTGGCTAGATTTCTGCGCCATTACCTTTTTACACACTATTTTACTTTCCTGGCATTTTACTCATTTTAACCACTTATCCTGAGGTGGGGATTATACCACCAATCCTACTATTAGAGTGCAGTGACATCTGCACTCTATTTGTGAGTATATTTTATTTTATTTTTTTTCTATATTACATCACATCATCAGAGAGCACTATTTGCTGTTTTTATTCTCCCCTTTTCCTGAGAATTGGACACCACTGTCGACTGGAGGATAAGCACCCACATATCCCATAAGCGGGGATCATTCCGCTGTATGCCTGTTACACTTGAGCTGGCCATAGCTCATTTAAATGTGAGTGTTTCATTTATATTTTAACTTATTTATTATTCATCCTATACACTCTGCACGATTGGTCCTTGTGTGTCTTCCATATCACAAGACGATTTGGACTACTAGAAATATAGAAGACACTCTACCAGCAAATACAGTGACCAAGTCTATTGAACTTCAGATATTCTTATTGGACTTTCTTTTACATATATATATTATTATTTTTTTATCCTTTATTGTATTTTTAGTACTATTTATCACGGCGCAGCCTTTTTTCTCCTTGTTGCACGTTTTAAATAGAGAGGGTGAGATTGCTACGCTCTGTAAGGTTGCTGCCTATACACTATATTATTAGCGCTAACCTACCCCTTTTTATCTATATGATCCTTAATTGTTAACAAAATTAAAATTAATATTATTTTGGTTTTTCTTCCTATGACTTTATTTTTTGTCATTATTAGTACAAGTTGCATTATCAAGGGAAAGATAAGTTTGGCATGACAGTGCCGCTTTAAGGCAGAAATCTTGTTTGAGCATTGCCCTCTTCAACATTTCAACGTTTGACTTAATTTGTTAGTTTGCAATTACATGCCTTTTTGTTTACACATTGCAAAGTGCTACAGAATAGGCTTGTGTTTCAGAATAAACCATTACTGTTGTATGCAGTGATCATGAGACCCTTGTTGCTTGTCAACAATTGTACAGCACTACAGAATATATTCAGGGCCGGCCTGTCCATAGGCCCCGGTGGAGCCATGGCTCCAGGCAGCACTCTGACAGGGGCGGCATTTTGCCGCCCCTGTCATAATCTAAAACAGGATTTCCCAACCTATGGCGGCAGCAGCACCGCACGGGTTGGGAACCTGTGTGAGGGTCCATCGGGTGGCCCATGCCCTTAGGGCCACCCGATGGACATATGCAGTGAGGGGACCAGTCGTGCGTTGTGGCGCTTTAACAGCACGACCGGGCCCATTCTATCCGCAAAGAGAGCTGGGAGGAAGTGACAGCGTATCACTTTCTCCCAGCTCACACAGAGCCAGCCGTGCGGGAGAAGGAGGAGGGAGCCGCGAGGATGGGGCCGGATCGGCATAGCAGGCCCCTAACTACCACCAGCCACAGCCAGTAGAAGGTAAGAACCTGCTGGGTCACAGGCATCTGTATATTTTATTCCCATTTACAGAAAATCCAGAAAGCATCTTGCAAAAAAAGAACTTTGGTTATGTGAGTCTTGTTTTATTCCACAGCTGGACTATAACAATTAAAATGATAACTAAAAAATTATCACACCACGTTGAAAACATTTTGAATTGTTATTCTTGCAAATTCGTGCAAATCATAGAACACTCTTGTCGCCTTATGATTGATTTATTTTGTGTCAGTATGATATGTTACTATCCCTCCCAATAATTGGGACTGGGGTCTTGGGTAGAAATACCTACAATGTGTCAGCCTGGCTGGAATATGGAGCATGTGGTCCGCGTGGGGAGATGGAAGTATTGCCCATTACTAGATTGCATTGAATCAATGAATCAGAGTAAAGTGTAAACCCTTTATGTGTTATGGCTTCCTCCTGGGGTCTAAGACCACTACAGGAGTAAAAAAAGAATTCCACCAGACACCAGGGAAGATCCCATTCTAAAGCCTAAAGTTAGGCAAAACATGAGAGTGGCTTAAATACTATATATGGGTCGTATATATTTTATTCTCATTTAATTTATTAACCTGGAAGTATTTATATCTCTATGTATCTGGAAATGTGTATCTGATCATGGGGTATGTTTGTATGTGTGCCTGAGGGATGGGGTATTTTTCTATGTTTGTGTCTTGGAGTGGGCTTGTTTGCACGTGTTTGTCTGATATGGGTTTGTTTGTTTGTATGTGTGAGTGGGAGTGGGTATGTTTCTGTCTGGAAGTGGGTACATTTGTATGTGTGCTTGGGAGTTGGTATGTTTTTATGTGTGAGTGGGAGTAGGTATGCTTCTGTCTGGTAGTGGGTATGTTTGTATACGTGTGTTTGGGAGTGGGTATGTTTGTGTCTGGTAGTGGGTATGTTTGGTGGCTTACTTTTTTGAATGTGTGTGTGTGTGTGTGTATGTAGTGTTGGTATCTGTGTGTTTGTATGTGTGTAATGTTTGTAGTGTGTGTTTTTTTTTTTTATAATTCTTTATTTTTTCAATGACAGAGAAAAATTGTACTATGCAGTCATATGGCTTGCGCAGAAGCCGCATTGTGAATACAAAAAAGAGCAAATGTTGCCAATAGGAGGTACATACGGTATTCATAACATTGCATGTACATCATTTGCATTCAGGATCTGGCTGCCATTGGTTTACCAGAATTGTACATAGACAAACATAAACATAAATAAAAAGAACAACCCAACGGTAATGTAAGAACTTGGATAGTGTATCGTTTCTTTGTGTTTAAGTTGCCATCTGGTTTTGATGGTGTAGTGTGTGTTTGTGTGTCTCTGTGTATGTGTAGTGTGTGTGAGTTTGTGTATGTGTAGTGCGTGTGTCTGCATGTGTGTATACTGTATGTGTGTAATGTATATCTGTGTGTATAGTGTGTATCTGAATGTGTGGTTGTAGTGTGTGTATCTGTATGTGGCAGTGTCTGTGTGTATATACTTACAAATCAGGTGGAGTGTAAGGTGGACCTTGACTTCAGGTATCACAGACAGCTGAAAATAAAGAGAACACAGCCTAGTGCAATATAGTCTGATACAATTATATGTATAGTAATCAACAGATATTATACTCACAAACACAGAGCCAATTACACTAGGCTCAATGAGTAAGCTGGTGGGAATATTTGGAGGGATCCCACTCCCTGGCTGAGCAGAATCCGTGCTGTGTCAAGGATCTTCCGCTTAGTAACTTCCCAGGGTCAAAGATCTTCCCTTAATAATGCTCCAGGGTATTAAATAATGGTAAAAATCCAATTCATTTGACACATAAAAATAGAAATAAAATAACAAGCAGTAAATACTGCTAAGTCTCTAGGGAGTTAAATACTTGCAAAACGCGTTTCACCTAGAAAGGCTTCCTCAGTTGCATAGACGTCTTGTCCTGGCGCCAGTCTTATATAGCTTACCTTTTGATTATCGATCCGGATCCCCTGTGATAGCAGTGAGTGACTTCCGTCTCCCTCCTATGACGTGTCACTCCGCCGTCTTCACTCTAAAGCTGTACTTCCGGTTTCGGTCTGTATTCGGAACGCATGTGCGTTCCACCTTCGAGATAAACTTTATTGTTGTAGCGCTTTGTGGACTTCTACTTTAGATCAAGTGTTACATGAATTTGTCCTAATATTACACACACTTTTATTAAAAATAGGAGTAGGTGATGTGTAGAGTCCCACAAGGGGAAACCAACATCAGGAGAGCTCCACTGTATAAGAAATGAGTATAATAAATGAGGAAGGGAGGCCCTACCTTTAATCAATCTAAGGATAAAAAGGGATATGCAAACAAAAAGTATAACTTGAAAAAAAGGGAGTTCTACTAAACGGTGCCCAGGGGATCAATTGTCTGGAGTACTAGCTAGCATCTAAGTTCCAGTTCCCCTAGTGTCCGACTGACAGGAAGGTAGTGTAAACGAGGTTAGGGAGAGAGAAGAGGCACGGGTCCCCGGAGGCACAGATCTCTCTTTTTTTCAATTTATACTTTTTGTTTGCATATGCCTTTTTATCCTCAGATTGATTAAAGTTAGGGCCTCCCTTCCTCATTTCTTATACAGTGGAGCTCTCCTGATGTTGGTTTCCCCTTGTGGGACTCTACACATCACCTACTCATATTACCTACATATTTTGGAGGGTTACCCCCTCTTTGGAGCTCCCTATTAGGTGGTTACAGTGGTGCAGCTCATGAGCCCTTGACTTGTATCCGGACTCCTGACCTGCACTCTGTTTACTTTATTTCTCCATTTTGTTATTAAAAATACATTGTTTACTGTAAACGTTGCATCACTTATGAATATTTTTACAGATTTCTTGTGTAAGAGATATGTCCGTATATTAGCACTTTATTAATTTAACTATGCACAGTTATATCAGAAACATCTGTTCCTATGATGGATGCAGATTTTTGAGCTTGTCATTCCCCCATAGAAGATATACAATGACATACACTGACATAAACATCTAAAAGGCTTAACGTAAGTGTAAGGAAACTCAGTCTCAAATTATTGATCAGGTGCCATAGATTGAAAATTCAGTTTGCTCATTCCAGTTTGTTTTCAAGGGTGCTGTTTCATAGTTGTCGCTGACAACTGAATACATTGGTGTGAAAATGCCTTCAGAACTAAATTAACACCAATTTACTGGAACATGTTTGGTATTTTATCTAGAGTAGCTATAGTTTGTAATGACAGCAAAGAAAATTTGTTAGCGTGTTCTAAAAGCATTTCGTTGGAAAACACATAACAGTCTCTGTTCCTGTATGTCCAGTGGTCTGATCTCAATTATGTGTCTGTTAGTCCACCCATTGTACAGCGCTACAGAATTTGTTGGCACTATATAAATAATAAAATAATAATAATAATAATATGAACTTCTTGGTAAAAGGTTGCAGGGACTCTGATACCCGCTGATTACTTAATCTGCTGAGTTGTGCCAGCAAAATTATTCCAGTGTACAACCAAGATGAAGTTAGATTGCCATGAGATATGGTCCCTAATATTGGTCATAGTTCTGTAAACATAACAGTAGCATATGTTTTATGATCAGGGCAGGAAATTATCTTTTGTATACAATTTTACAATGTTAAGTAACCAGCTAAGCATTTATATAATCAATGTACAAGGAATCCTTCCTGTGTAGTTTTGCAATAGAGTATGTGAGCACAATGTGTAAGGTAAATCTGTTTAAGGTAAATGCCTTTCGTGTCATTTGTCAAAAAGGGATCTGATGTCTTTTTCATTTTACGGAAAAGCTATCCTTTGATGGTGTTTCAGTAAGTTCCCATATTCATTTATTTATTTATAAAATATTTTACCAGGATGGATACATTGAGATTTCTCTCGTTTTCAAGTATGTCCTGGGTCTTTGTCCACTAGACATGTGCAATTCGTTTCGGGCCGAATATGAATTTGGACGAATTTTGGGCAATTTGGACATTTCCGAATGTCCGAATAGCCTAAGTTCCGAAATTGCTGAAGTGCCGAAGTTCCGAAGCACAGTATTTCCTAAGTACTAATATACTTATCCAGTGGAAGAAGAAGAATGTTACACTGTATAGTATTTTAAATAAAAAGTATACAAACAAAGCCAGGATTCAGCTGTAAGCCTTTGCAACACTTACAACATTCAAATAAAATGTAAGTTACTTGGCCAGTTATGTAATGACAGGAATAAATAAGTAGATAACTCCCTAATTCCCAAGGTATTAGGGATCTATCTACTAAAAGGCTGAAAGACCAATTTAGTAAACATTACTTAATATTAGTAAATTATGCCCCTACTCGCTATACCGCATGAAAAAAAAACACATCCCCCTCCTAACCTAAAGGGGGGCCCTAAAGTAAAGTAATGGGGGGGGGACCTATTGTCCTCCCCCACCCGGCCCCCACCCCATAGCGGTGGGTAGGGGCCCTAACTACCAATTGGGGGGGACCTAATGTCCTCCCTCTGGCCCCCACCCCTGAGCGGTGGGTGGGGGCCCTAAATTAGAATGAGGGGGGGATTAGTATTTAGGGTCCCCGACCCACCGCTCAGGGGTGGGAGCCAGGGTGGAGGACATTAGGTCCTTCCCCCTCATTCTAATTTAGGGCCCCAACCCACCACTCAGGGGTGGGGGTCTGGGGGGAGGACAATAGGTGCCCCCCCAATATTTTACTTTAGGGCCCCCACCCGCTGCTCAGTGAGCAACCAGTGGCTAAATGACTAAATGTTTAATAGACATGCCCCTACTCGCAGTATAGCGTGTAGGGGCATAATTTAACAATACTAAGTAAACTTTACTTAGTATTAGTAAATTTGGCTGAAAGACCAATTTAGGTCTTTCAGCCTTTTGGTAGATAACTCCCTAATACCGTGGCAATTAGGGACTTATCTTCCAAGCGGCTGCAAGAGAAATTCCGAAGTGTTAACATCCCGAAGTTGCCGAAGTGCCGAAGTTACCGAAATTCCGAAGTGGCCAAGTTCCGAAGATCCGAATTGCCGAAGTCCCGAATTTCGGAATGCCGAACCAAACCGAAATTTTTTCCCATGCACATGCCTATTGTCCACAAAACATTGCATTGTTACAATAGGATACAATATTACAAAAATACAATATACAAACTATGTATATATATACACACACACATATATAAATTTAATACATAACAGGTAATAAATATATTCAACCATGACAGGTGCATTATGTGCTGAGGTTTATTGCCATAAATCTCTTAAAAGATTTTAGATTGAATGAAGATTTGACTGCGTCCCTGAGGTTATTCCATAATTGATTGGCAAGTAGCCTTTGGATGGATCTAGTGACACAACTGCATTATTGGCACACTCCCTTTACACCTCTCCCACCAGTGTGCTGCTTCTATGGACACCAGATTTGGGAGGTATGCGGCTAAGCTGTGCACCATGGGACACTTAAGTAAACAAGTAAAGTAAAAAACACTATAGGTCACATTTTTTCCTGATGAAACACTGCAGACTAGATTCACACTTAAAAAATCTTTAAAAAAAAAATTATACATTTGAATTGTCTGTATTTTCTCTTTTTGAGGGTTCTACATGTATTGTTTCACAGATCCTCAAAAAGTGCATCATGTGTGCCAAGCTTTCCCAAAAAGGAAGTGACTTCTGTTCAATTAAAAAACTTCTATGTAGCACAGCTTAGCGTATTACTGTCAAATTTTCTCCTCGCAGTGTCGTTCTAATGCCCAATACTATACTCTGATCCTGCATCAAAATCAACGCAAGGTGAAATAATTTATTTAAAATCCCAGCATCAATCTTCTTTCAATAATGATGCAAGCTCGGCATGATTTTGAATTCACAGGCCAATTACTTTTTGGTGTCGCTTTGGTGATGTCAGGCGCTAGAGTAATGTAAAGTCACTCCACTAGAAGTCATGTGCCCTATTGTGATTCCTGTATATCTAACAGTGTGTTCCTTGTGTTCTCTTATTGTTTGGGTACTGACTTCTGCTTGTTTGACTACTCTTGTCCTCTGTACTCCTGATTTTGGCTAGTCCCTCGATTTTGTGTCAATCTGTCCTCCTTGACCTTGGCCTGTTCACAACTATTTTTTGTCTGTTCTTAAAAATATGTATTTGGAGTAAAAAGTCTTGTTGGACTTCTCACCTTATTGCACGTGTCATTATTAGATGGCGAGTATCAGTGTAATGGTTTTGAGTTGGAGTGAAGGCATCTCTGGAGTCCCTTTATTCCTGATATCGGTTACAAAGAATTAGTAACAAGAGCAGATACAGATACTAAAGCTCCACCTTTTTACATAGGATACTTTCTTTTTTGACTTTTTTTTGTAATATGACAAAGAAAAAGAATTTCTTGCCAATTTTTATTCCTTTGGATTTTTTTTTTTAATTGATGATTTTACCATTGATCATATTTACAAAATAAGACAAATGTTTATTAGGGAAAAAAAAAAGACACATTCAGAAACGGAAGGATTTAGTCCTTAAAGGTACATAAAAGGCACACAGACCACTTAATCTCAATTAAAGGGACACGCCAGGCACCCTTATGCCAATTGGAGTTGTCTGGGTGCCATCTCCCATCACCCTTAATCCTGCAAGTGTAATTATTGCAGTTTTTATAAACTGCAATAATTACCTTGCAGGGTTAAGTCCTCCTCTAGTGGCTGTCTAGAAAAACACTTTTGTCCAGTGGATATTAAAGGAAATCTACATTGCAGGGTTTAAATGCCTTCCATTAGAGGTGCTTCCACCGAAATAGCCAATTGAAACACGTCTATTACAAGCATTATTATCAAAATTGAGAGGCAGGTTAACCAAGCACAAAGCATGGGAGAAAACATAAGTAAACTAACTTTGTCACCTCACCCTTGAAGGGGGGGTCACCTACTATGTATAGAAACTATAGTGTTTGAAATGCACATTTATATTCTTAACGCTACAGTGGTCTTTTAAGCAAACAGAAAAAATTTGAAAACTGCTTACCTGTCTCAGAAAATCCACCACTCTAATGGTGGTAGAAATATTTAGCCAAAAAAAAGTTTGCACCATTTTTTATACATCGGAAGCAACAAATTTGAATAAATATAAATAAAATTATACAAGAGGGGCAGTAAGTAATATTTTGACACAAACGAGGGAATTAGGCATCAATTTACTAAGCTTTTAAAATAGTTTAATACTGCTAGCAAAACTTTAAAAATGATTCATCTATAAAGAAAATTCCCATAGAATATGTAGTTAAATCATCAGGCAAGTTTTTCTAACAGTTTTAAATCATTTGGAAAGAAAAAAAGACAAAATTGCACAGTTTTTTTATGTGCCTGTGTGTGTCTGTGTGTCAAGGTGTGTGTATTGTGTGTCAATGTGTATCTGTGTGTGTGTATGTATCTGACACACAGATACACACACACACACACTGACACACAGATATACACACCTTGACACACAGTGTGTCTGTGTGTGCATCTGTGTGTCAAAGTGTGTGTTTGTATCTGTCTGTGTATCAAGGTGGCACATAGTGGCACACAGATACACACACTGACACAGTGTGTGTCAATGTGTGTGTATCTATATGTCAAAGTATGTGTATCTGTGTTTGTATGTGACACACAGATACACACATACACACTGGCACATAGTGGCACACAGATACACACTGACACACACACCTTGACACACAGATACACACATCTTGACTCACAAATACACACACACTCAAAAACACACAGTGACATATTCACACACTTGCACCCACAGATACACACACTGGCACATACACACACTCAGATACACATATTGACACATACACACAGTGTCATATACACACACTGACACCCTCAGATACACACACACACACACACACACATAGGCACATACAAACACACTGATATACACTGGCACATACACACACATACACTCAGATACACACAGTGACACATACACAAACCTTGACACACAGATACACACACTGACACACTCAGACACACATACTCTTTGACAGACACACCTACACTCTCACTGACAAACATGCATACTCTTTGACAGACACACATACACTCACACTGACAAACACACATACTCTTTTACAGACAAACATACAAACACATATACACTCTCACTGACAAGCACACATACATTCTCACTGACATACACATACACACTCACTGACAATCACACTTACACGCTCTCTGACAAACAGGCATACTCTTTGACAGACACACATACACTCTCACTGACAAATACACATACTATTTTACAGACACACATACAAACACATACACACTCTCACTAACAAGCACACATACATTCTCACTGACAAACACATACGCACTCACTGAAAAGTACACTTACACTCTCACTGACAAACACACATATACATAGACACACAAACACATACAAACTTCCTAACAGACACACATACAATTGATTATTTTTTTTACATTTTACTCCACCCAGCCTTCCTACCTTTGGGAGTGCAGGCATGGAGTCTATGTCCCTGTGATCCAGTGGGGCTGCTGGGCTGAGTGTGCGGTCCCTGGGGTCAAGTGGGGCTGCTGGGCAGCTTGTGTGTGGTCCCTTGGGTCCAGTGTTGCTGCTGAGTGGCTGGCGTGCAGTCCCTGGGGTCCAGTGGGGCTGATGAGTGGCTGGCGTGCGGGCGGCGGGGGAGCAGTGATCTCCCTGCTCAGCTCCCTTATGCGCTTCGTAGTGATGCCAGAGCTATGTCATATTCCAACTCCGGCATCACTGCTGTGCGCACAAGAGAGCTGAGCAGGGAGATCACTGCCCACTGCTCCCTCGCCGCCCTCACTGTTTTTATATCTCCCTGCTCAGCTCCCTTATGCGCTTCGTAGTGATGCCAGAGCTATGTCATATTCCGACTCCGGCATCACTGCTGTGCGCACAAGAGAGCTGAGCAGGGAGATCACTGCCCACTGCTCCCTCGCCGCCCTCACTGTTTTTATAAATTTTGGCGGAACCCCAATTGTGAAAAGCTGCTCTAAAGTGTGAATTGTAAGTAACTTAAAATGTCTAAATTTAGGTACAAAATAGACAAAATTTAAAAGTCCGAATAGACATATCTAGCTGACTTTACTTTGAATTTTTGTCTATTGGCACGTGAGTGAAAAAACAGTCTACAATCAAAAAGGTGTTTGTTATTCATAGTTTCTTCTGCTAAAAGGTAATTCAACTTTTTAATACTTTCTGCATGTTGAAAGGTTATAAGATAGAGTTAATGATACCTGGTGAAAATAACCCTATTATGCTTCTAAACCTGTTCAGGACCTGCAGAAGTAATGAGGCTGTTAATAATGTTATGAAAAAAAATATATATATATGGATGGTTAATCTCCGCTGTACATCAACCAACAAAGTTGGTGTTCCAGTAGAAAAAAAAAACCTGCAGTACCAAGAGGAGACTCCAGGGGTCTCCAGGGGCTTAACCCCAAAGCACTAAGTGGAGAAAACAAAAAGAGAACACAGAACGCTATATACAAATGTCAAAAGACAAATGTAGCGAGCTGTGTATACCTGGAAAGACACTGTAGTCTAGGAGAAGTCTATTATATACATTATGTACAAAGGTCAAAATATCCCTATATAAAGTAAATTAAAAAAAGTAGATAGAAAGAGCATAAACCCTGGATGATATACATATACCACTATTATAATCAAAAAGACCGCAGACAGCTACTGTGACCTTTAATTAATCTGGCTCAATATGCTACTGCAGTATTAACATTATTATATCTAGTATATCACACAGGGAGCAAAAGAGTAAGTTAAACTACCACCTCAATCTAGCCTCTAATGTGCAAATGCACTTAGTGTAATACAATAATCCCAAACTATATAAGGTTATGCTTAGATGTAAAAGGGTTATTTTGAGAGAATGATTGAATATTTTTTTTAATCAAAAGGATCTCCACTAATTTTCCTGCTGCTGAGAATCGACACTGTTATAAGCTACAGGTATTTAACCCTTAAATGTCAAACAGTGGCAACTGTAAAAAATTGGATATTCCTGTATTTTATCTAAAATAAATGACATGCATAACAGGACATTTGTGGTAGCACGTGCTGTTCAATTTTTCTGTCTACCATTTAGATTTGGCAATGAAACTGAAATATTTGATAGATTCATAGACTGTAGGATATATGTGGGTAAGCCAAGAGTCAGCGGTTTCTAGGTGAGAGATTTTATTGTTGCCCATCTGGGTGTGGTTTAATAAGTCACTCTCTTTTACACACTCCTTTTAAGTGCACAACATTTCTGACTGCTATATGAGAATCGTGGGAAATATAGTCCATGGACATTAAAGGAAATCTTGTCAATAATAATGATGACTAACCATAGCATGTCTGATATTTGTGGACCCTGTATCCCAACATGCCGAACCAACAAAAGTTACATGATCTGAGTGCACAAATAAAGGCTAACCAGGCATAGGAGATGTTTGTGGACTATTGTTTGTCAGCTAGGCTACTGATTGGCTGAGAATCACAGGAATGTAGTTCACAAATGTTCTCTTCGTTCTCTCACCTGACATGTTTCTGTCTTCATCCCAGTGACTGTGTATGTATGTGTACTGATTATATATAACCGTATTTTTAAACCATATGCTGAATTGTCAAAATTGTGGGGGGAATATTTTCTTTTGCCAAAATGTTACAACTGTATAATCAAAGCTTGTCTGTTTTTGCCTATATTTTGCAATTCAGTTTTCAATTCAATACAATTAGTTTTTTTTAGTGAATAGCCCCCTCCATGAAATTCTGTGTTTATAATATGTGTCGTATCATATGCAATGTGTGAATGTGAGGCTCACCCTCCCCCAGCCTGCCTGAAGCAGTCACCCACTTCCCATACTTGTAAGCAGCTAGAGCCTGCAATAAAAAGCGATTGAGAATGACAAATAATATAAAGCCATAGACTGAACAGTTCTCGTCTGTGGGGCCTACCTTGAGAGAGAAAATGAAAAGGTTCATGGCACGCTTTGCACCAAGCTTAGCTGCCCCTGGGTACAATTGTTAAAAAATTCAAGTGTCTGTCTATTCTAATGGGACATGTTACTTTGGATTTTAATCCCTCACTCTGCCACTGCCTTTCTATTCTTCTGAAAGATCGGAAAGGCAGTTTGAAGTGCCTTTTATGTATAACCAAAAAAAATGAATGTGGTGTGAGCACTTTAAAATATAACTTTTATTGATTGACGTTAGAATATCCAAAAAAAGTGGGGTATTGTACAGTGTAGTGTGTAGATAAATACATAGAAAGAAATAGTATATAAAGTAGTAGTAAAAAAATAATAATATAAAATGATGATAAAAATCTAAGTATCTCTCTAAGTAGATGGGATACAAAGGATTCATAAATTAATAGTACACTACACATTTAGGCACATATATTTCCTTGTAGGATAGTGGATAATAAAGTATCAAGTATACCACTTATACCGCACAGTTAACTGTTGCAACTGTGTATCACATAGCTCTATGCAGAAAGCTAATAGTAATGTGTCCAACAAGTTTAGAGTATTTGCCGCAGAGTAATAGTAATATAGGCAGAAATGGTTAAACTTGCAGATAGACCAACAAGTTTAGAATATTTGCCGCAGACTAATAGTAATAGTGATATAGGCAGAAATGGTTAAACTTGCAGAATAATATCTGTGAATATCAAAATGGGATTAACAGTTAGAGTGCATGCACCGGTTGATCCCTAGTCTCGTTAAATATAGATTTCTAATCCGTACATATTTTGCAACCGGCACATGTCCCCTCCATGTTCCCAAATAAAAGTTGGTGTACAAATTAGTGAAAAATGCCTCCGTTCCCAAATATGTCTAATTCTTAGAGAGATCAAATATAGAAGGAACCCCAGGAGGGGGGAGTAGTGAAGTTAAATGTAAGTCATCAGTGTGAAAAGACCCCCCCCCCCCCCCCACTCGGAAAGCTCCAGTGTATTATTTTATTCACTCCCTTGTTCAACTTTACATACTATTTCTTTCTATGTATTTATCTACAGACTACAGTTCAATACCCCCCTTTTTGGGGATATTTTAATGTCAATCAATAAAAGTTATATTTTAAAGTGCTCACACCACACTAATTTATTTTGTTAGTACAATTACGGGGTTCAAACCGATTGACAAAGTGGTGAAGCAAAGTTTCTCACTTGTTGTCAATTAGTGGTGGAAGAGATAGATTTCTCTTTACCTTTAATGTATATTTAATTATGAAGGTGTACATCATTATTTGACATGGTTCTTAATGGCTTAATTACATAAATAGCTATAAACATGTAAAAAGGTATATACAGAAATTCACTAGATTGATAAATAATTCTCACACGTGCTACAGTACTTTTAATTCATAATTAAATATTAAAAATGTGTATTTGTGACTGTCCTAACATCTAATTGGTCTTGATGGGGTTAAAACTAATTGTTAAATTTGCATTGTAGCATAATTACTGCTACATTATTAATAATTTTTAATTGAGACACTATTGGAATATATACATTAACACGCAGACTGTATCCTGAGATTATTAATGTAAATATTGCATCTACGAAGAAAATTCAGCATAATGAAATGAAAACAAAAAGCATAATGAAAATCCACATCGTATATCTTACAGAAAAGCCCTATATCTTATATTACAGGGATCAGCAAAGTTGGAAAAGGCTGAAATTCTTCAAATGACGGTAGATCATCTGAAGATGCTGCAGGCAACCGGGGGTAAAGGTAAGGCTTTAATGGTCTGTAATGCTGCACGGAAAACTAAGTAAACATCTCATTTAAGAAATACTGGTAGGCTGATGCAGATAAAAGGAGTGGAAATCAATGCTAATGGTAGGATTGAACTCGTGGGAAAAAACCATATTCACAAAAGGAGCACTTGACCCTGGGCTTGTGTTTGCTTTCACAACACTGGGAGAGTAAAAGCTTCATTCACAGACAGTCCAGCCATGGATTTGTTTGGGGTTTTTACAAGGAGACAAAACAAACACACAAACATTCAGGAAAAAATAAACAGGACAGGAACCCACAATGAAGTTGTGCAGAACCCCGACGTAATGTCTGCTTTTAGCAAAGGAAGTACAGGAGGGAGACTATTCATTTATTATAACCCACACGGTGTTCACAAAAAAAAAAAAAGGAACAATGATTCATGATGCATGCACAATGCTTATAAAGGAAATTGAAAGAATAATTGTTCCTGTGCTTACCGCAGCTTGGAATTAACTTCCTGATGACTTTTCTGTCACTGAGAAAGCTTCTTCTTTTTAACTTCCAAATCTTTTATCCTTTGAGTTGCATGTACACATTTTCTTAACTCTTCTTTTCACCTACATTATTCGTTAATGTCTTGCTGGATTCTAGGCCATAAAAAATTATAACACACTTTGTTCGCAACAGAAGTCTGCAACTTATACACAACATGACTTAAGTTGTTTGGTGTAAGCTGGTAAATCCCCCTGTTTATCATTAAGTGTCAATCATATACAGAACATCTAAACAGGAATGTACATGTTTGAGGGAAAGCTCAGTCTCTTGGCATACCATTTGCAAGAGTAGACAACCCATGGTATTGCAAGTGGAGTATGTCCAGTCTTTTTAGTAGCCAAATATTAGTTTTTTGCTTATTTCACACACAAACAAATATGAACACTAACTTTGGCCAGTGTTTGTGACTAAGTGTCTACTATATAAACCTGGATATATCCCACTTGCAATACCTTGGGTTGTCTTCTTTTGCAAATAGTATGCCGTCATGGGGATACTTCTCATTCCTGGGCTACCATACGCTCTCAAAGGTAACATTACTAATCTGGCAAATTTCAATGTGAAAAAAACTGAAAAATGGAATGTGCTATATTTGACCCTGTAACTTTCCAAAACACCATAAAACCTGTTAATGGGGGGTACTGTTGTACTCGTGAGACATTGCTGAATACAAATATGTGCATTTTATTGCAGTAAAAGCTAATAGTATTATGATATGTACAGCTAAAATGTCAAGCTATACATTATTTTAAAAATCTTAATTTCTCAGTTTTTTTAATTTTATTCAGAATAAATTATGTTTCATATATGAATAGTTCATGAGAAATTAAAGCCCTGTTTCTCCTGAACAAAATGATATATAATAAGTGTGGGAGCACTTAATATGAAAGAGGTGATTTACGGTTGAACAGACATAGCTCAAATTCCAGGTTTTGTTTATATTTTGTTTTGATCAGAACGTGTACTATTGACTCTGTCCTGAAGGGGATTATGGGTAAAAGGAATGTGCTGCTCTTCGGTGAGCATGGTCACAGTGCAAGGAGAATGTAAACATTATGACTGTGAGCATGTAACTTATGTACTAATTTCCAGCATGAATGTTCACATACAGTAAATACAGTTTGGTTATTAAAACGCGCCTCTGTATTATTCAGGCCATTGCTACCTACTGCAGGCTCTACATTTTATACATTACCATAAAATGCCATAATTGCCATATTAATCCTGTAGGAGGGGGAAGAGGTTGATCTCATTTACTGTTCATTTGCACAGATTATAGAAACGGATCAGACCCGTGCTGATATAAATTTGTTTTTGTTAGGTCGCAACTGGTGCCTGACAGCATTGAGAGTTGATCTGAATGAGTTGGTGAAAAGAGGAAAAAATCTCAGTGTGTATCCATGGCCATCGATAAATCCCATGCGCTATTATTGTTATTAGTATTTATAGAGCACTAAAATATTATGTAGCGCTTTGCAATAATACTTTGGGGATATAAAACAAGTATTCACATTCAAATTAGTGAGGACAGAGACGAGGTGAGAGGGCAATGCTCAAATGAGCTCATAATCTAAAAGCACAAATTAGCTCACTCACAGTCCTATAATGTACCTTTCATGTCCCTGCCTAGTAAAGTTTATACATATAAAGAGTGTAAGCTTATCCAAGTGAACAGTGCTCTTAGTAGTTTGTGCCTGTCCACTGTACAGCACTTCAGAATGTCTGCACTTCATATTTAGATTTATTATAATAATACACAGCAATGTCTTGCGAGTCATTTCAATGGTCTGCCATGCAAGACTGGCTTCTAATTATGAATGCCAGAGCAAATCCACTCTTTTATGGATAGTACTTTAATAGATACGGTCACTGGGAATAATGTGACCTACTCAAATGTTGTTTCAGTGATACACTATGTTAAATTAAGGGTGAATCTTATTAGATGTACAGTTTATTTTTCTAATTTCTCGTCCTGTACAACATAACCTATATGGAGCTACGTATCACCTTCTGGGGCCTTTTAGGACTCATCTGTAACACCATTATTTTCGAATGTTCCGATCTACCTTGTGAGTCACGCCATGCCAGTTGCACTATATGGTTCATTTATGTGCTCACATCCAGTCCCAGAAGTATAAGTCGACAAATAAATCTTCAAAGTGTGTTTTTAGATGTCAATGTATTTTTCTCATTAAGTCTTTTTTTTTTTAAATGAACAAATGCCAACAAAGGATGTTGATAGTTTTCTTTTAAGTGACATGGCATGTCAAATGATTCTGCATTATACCAGTAAGCAGATCATACATTCAAATCCCCCAGACTGTCAGGAATTAGAAATCAAGACCACGCTGTAAATGTCAGTAGAGAGTGCAGGGGAGAAGTGGGGGTAGAACTTTGGTCAGAGCCTTTAATCTTGGTGCGTGTGTATGTTTGTGTGCGAAGCAAGGAGGGACACACACGGATGGACTATTACCATGGGAAAGATTCTCAGGCATGTCATCACCCCACAGTACAACATGAGAGGCATTGTCCTGGATATTTTTTTTTTTAACAGTTTGGAGAACTGATGTTCTTAATTTTTTCCCCACTGGATTATCTGGTTTCAAGACTTGTACAGTATTACATTACCATACCAGAGGCACTCACACATTGACTTTCAACAGTACACTGACACTAGCTAAGACTAGCACAAAAGGCTTTTTGCAAACGACCTACATTAGAAAAAGATAAATGCATTTATTAGCTTAATTGTCACTCTTATTTAATTGAATGTGGATTGTAAGTTTTAGACCACAATAGCTGAGATAAAGAATAGCTAACTTGTAGAATTGTTGTTGTTGTTTTTGTTTGTTTTTTACTATTTTGGCCTAAAATTTGCAGTTCATTTACTATCCACAATTCCCAAATTAGAAATTAAACTCATAAAATGCTCTTCTCAGCTGTGGTGCTGCTGTAAAGATAAAAATATCTACAACATACAGATGAAGGAACAGCACACACACACAAAAAAACAATTTTCCTGTTTTTACCAACAAATATTGCGATTTGGTTATACCATATGGCCATATTGTGTGAAGCTCACCACTACGCCACAGGGCAGCTTGGTCACTTGGCACCTGTGGTAGATATGTATGTTGGCATCCATCACCTGAATTTTAAAATATTGTGTGTCACTCCGCACTCACTCATCCCTTTGTGCGTATCTCCTGACTTTTCTTTCAAATCCACACTTTCAACCTTCTGTGTGCCAGTAACCCACCTCATGCTGATGAGTTGCATTAACAACGAAACAGCTATCCATGAGTGGTTCGCTGACTTTGCATCTCTTCCTGAGTTGTGTTTCAAAGCTTTTGTATACAGGAAACATCAACCCTGTTACATGTCTTAGTATCATCAGCAAAAAGACATACCTTACCATCAAGACCTTCTGCAATATCACTAATTAAAATATTAAAGAGAATGGGTCCAAGTACAGATCTCTGACATTCCCCACTGGTGACAAGCCCATGCTTTGAATATACTCCATACAACCCTCGGTTCACAGTCGGGAGTCTTTGCAAATTCAACGAAGTCCCCAAACACTGACAGTGCCGCTTTTAATTGTGTTGGTTTTCATAAATAACCACATTAGATGCAATTTTTCTACTGTGCTTATTATTTTCAGAAATGAGAAAAAAAACTTAAAACCAAAGGCAGTGCATGTAGTCATTAGAGCCTGTTCCATACAGACCCTATAACACCATGAAATGTTTGGCTTACCTTCAGCAGTCACATGAAGCCTTGCTATTGCAGAATGGTTATACAATTCTATGTCACAGTAGGTTCTTGGAGAAATAGTACTATGTCTAAATGAGCAGTCCTTGATCTGTAATGAGTTAATAATTAATTTTTATACTTGGATTATCGTTGCTCGGTTTTACATATAATAATATAAGAATAATGACTATAATGTAACACCTGGTAAAACCTGCCATGCTATTTAGTCAGAAACACTTAAATGTGTGAAGGACATGTCTCAATGATTGACATTTTGACACGTAGTCATAGATTAAGTAGGAGTTGCTAGGTGTATTCTCGCAAGTGGTATTTCTTTGAATAGAATCTTCATATGTTCTATGTTATTCAATCAGACACTAAGGGTGATATTTTTAAAGGTTAGATTAAAAGTAGAATTTGCAGTACTACGTTTTGGGAACTTCAGAGCCTTTCCTTAAAATTCACACTACCATACACTTTGAGTTCATTTAAACTGGAAAAAAGAAATTTAGACTTGATCAAAATAATCCATTATTTGGTGCTAACTAGCTCAGAAATTGACACTTCAGAATTCGCAATCTTGTCCTGCAATAGATAAATAATTTTGGTGTGTGTGCCCCTTCTTCTGCTCTGTCTCCTATGCAATATTATTGGATAGAGGCTGCTAAAGGGGATACTATAGGCATCAAAGCAACTTTAGCTTAATAAAGCAGTTTTTGTGTATAGATTATGCCCCTGCAGTATCACTGCTCAGTTCTCTGCAATTTAGGATTTAAACCTCTTTTGTTTCTGTTTATGCAGCCCTAGATACCGTGGCGGGCCGCCGTCACTGAGCACCATGTCCACTGCTCATTCATGTGTTTTCTTCTGTGTATTGTACGTTTCCCCTTGTATTTCATGTATTTTGCCCTGTTGACCATTCGGTGCTCATGCGAACAGAAACCGTTCATCTCCCGAATGTGGATCACCCTGGTATCACATTAGAATGTTCACACCAATCCATCAGAACATTCGCATCTGCAACATAAGTGTAAAACCGCAAGGGAAGTAATTATTGAGTGCTCCCCTGGGTGGCTGCCATTTTGTATAGGCGCACGCCACCCGGGGGAGCATTTGTATCCCGAAAGGATACGCTTCCCTTGCAGGGTCTTCACACAGAAACTCCACGAACAGATCCCTGAAGTTGGGTGGGACACTGTTGGAGTACTGGTCGTTCGGATCATCCTGTCTGCTCCTAACGGAGCTGTAATCACAACTCCCTTGGGAGCTGCAAGGCCACGCTCAGAGATGCCCAAGGAGCGCTCTCTCCGGTGCTACCTAAGTGGAGGTAGCCACGGAGAGAGGCGCGAACCCCAGCTGAATGCCTGGAACTGTGAGTTGGCTACGCGCTGGCCACCTGGAAGTTCGTGCTGACCAATGGGAGAAGGAGCGCCCATTCAAACTGGGTTTGCGCCATTCTCCTGACTGGTCGGTACGAGTGAGCGCTGATTCATCGCTGCGGGGCACAGTCGATATTGTACATACAATATACATATAAATACAACCAGATGCCCAAATATATGTACATGCACATCTACACATACATCCACACACAACCCTTCATCCTTCTGAGGTAGATAAAATGAGTACCATTAAACTGGGTAAAAGTAACATCACCTGGATGTTGGGCAAAAGTAACATCCCCAGGATGTACTTAGAAACCAGAGTAATCAGAATGTACCTTAAATACTTTGTTGTTATTTTTACTAAGAGTATCCCTTTAACCCTTTAAGGACTGAGCCAAATGTACACAATGTGATCAAAACAAAATGTAAACAAAACCTGGAATTTGACTATTTGTCTGTTCAACCGTAATTCACCTCTTTCATATTAAGTGCACCCACACTTATTATATATCATTTTATTCAGGGGAAACAGCACTTTCATTTAACAAATATTTAGCTATGAAACATAATTTAATATAAATAAAATATTTTTAAAAGGGAGAAAATAAGAAATGTTGTTAATTTTTTTTGTTCTACATGACATTTAACTGTGAATGTCATAATACTGTTTGCTTTTATTGCAATGAAATTCACATATTTGTATTCAGCAATGTCTCACGTGTAAAACAGTACGCCCTATGTACAGGTTTTATGGTGTTTTGGAAAGTTACAGTGTTAAATCTAGCATGTTACATTTTTCAGTTTTTTCACATTGAAATTCGCCAGATTGGTTACGTTGCCTTTGAGACCGTATGGTAGCCCAGGAATGAGAATTATCCCCATGATGGCATACCATTTGCAATAGTAGACAACCCAAGGTATTGCAAATCGGGTATATCCAGTCTTTTTTAGTAGCCACTTAGTCACAAACACTGGCCAAAGTTAGTTTTAATATTTGTTTCTGTGTGAAAAATGCAAAAAACTAATTTGAACTCCAATTTTGGCCAGTGTTTGTGACCAAGTGGATTCTAAAAAAGACTGGACAAGAAAGTTAAGATAAAATTATATCTGCCCATTCTCTAGTTTCCCAGAGCTGCACATTACAGTAACCTAGCAGCTGCCGAGCTGGCTTTATTGGGACTGCTACCTGAGTGGTCACCGAGACCCCCGTAAATAGCAGCTCCCAATGCAGCAGTGCTACATGCTGACTAACAAGCATGAGTGATACATGCTAATACACGGAGCCCCTGGGCACTAGCATTACGCAGTGAGTGAGGAGAGCTTGGGCCTAGCAGGATCTCCCCTAATAAAGCCCAGGGTAAGGGGGAGGGGTTGGTTAATGGCTGCCAGGGGTCAAGGTGTGGACACAGCAACAGTTACGGACTACGTTTCCCATGATGCTCAGTAAACCCTGTGTCTAGACTCGCAGGAAAACTTGTCTGGGCTTATGGAACAGAATGTCTGGCAGATACGGCTCTGACCACCAGCACGGAGAGCGCCCGGTAATAGCAGAGCAGGGATCCCCAATTGCAGCTAACAATACTGGAGGGGGAGGACAACCGGTCCCACGGCCCACCCCCAGCTGGAAGTACCAGGAGGGAGGACAGTCAGTCCTATGCCCCAGTGGCAGCAGAGATACCTAGGGGAGAGGAGACTGCTGGGACTCTTGCCCCACTTACGGGTGTGGATGGGACAGCGGTCTCTGCACTAGCCTCATAGGGATATTGGGCAGCCTATGAGGCTAGTATCAGTTGCTGCTTGTGTTTCCATCTTGTCCCAGATTAAATTGAAATTCATTAGAGAAAAAATGAAAAAGAAACTTACAAAAACATAACAGAAGAAGATTAGAAACCAAGAGGTGGAAAGTCGTGCTTAAATTTAACTTAAACTACACTATCAGAGTTATTCAATGTGGGCAGCCAGGGACTGTCATGCACCGTTAAACTGCTTGAAAATTGTTTAACACTGAATGGAGGAACAGTGCAAAAGGACTCCAAACAATACAACCAATTCTATAAGTTGAAATGGTTATAATGCCATTATATACTGATGGCATTATGCCTATAGAATTTTAGAAATAGAGTAATGAAAATGGGTGATAAACCCAGTTAAAGTTCATGCAGCTTTACGATATTCAGGATTGGGAACGCAATATGGGTGATCAGCAGAGAAGACTTTGTTGTTACTACAAACTATAAGGATTGGTGGTGTCAAAGTGTGTAATGAAAAGCATGGTGTTGGAAAAAATGCTGCTATATGTTTGCCAACAAAATAATTATAAAGGGAGACCATTAGTTTTACATGAACTCATTTTTGAGGGACCCAGCATCCAACCGAAAGTAAAAGAGAATTAGCAGAGAATAAAATGGCCACGTTGTTGAAGAATGACAGGAAATGGGCAAGAAGCTCATTAGAAATAAAAAAAAATCTAAAAAAGAAGGCAGTAAAGGCTAATTAGAGATGAGAGTGTCAATGAAGCACTTATTCATAATTCTTTCTTATAATTGAGCAAAAAACACAACATAGACAAATGACTGTACTATTACAGTATTGTGCTAGTATGAACACTTGAACTTGATTATAGAAGTGGGACATTCCATGTTAGTTGTATAAATAATCAAATATATAGTTTTAGTAATATTTTACCGAAACAAAATAGCGTTTATTAAAGGGAAAGCTAAGATGAAGATTTTAGTCACAAATTAGTTAATTTGGTAACGTTCTTTGACATTTTGCCCCTCTGCTTTACTTTAAATGGCTACCACTTATTCTCTATAGCATCCTTTGTAACTAAAAGTACATGGCTGCATTCATAGCTGTAATTGTGTTTTTTTAAGTATCCTTGAATACAAAAGATTCTGGTTGGTATTAACCACAGTTTTTCTGTCTTTCTTTTGAAGGTTATTTTGATGCACATGCTCTAGCTATGGATTTCATGAGCATTGGTTTCCGCGAGTGTTTAACAGAAGTTGCCAGATACCTCAGTTCCGTTGAAGGCATGGACACATCAGATCCTCTGCGGGTGCGCCTGGTTTCGCACCTTAGCACATGTGCCTCACAAAGGGAAGCAGTAGCTATGACCTCTTCGGTGGCTCAACATCAACATTCTCTGCATCCTCATCACTGGGCAGCCGCTTTCCACCATCTACCTACAGCATTGCTGCAGCAGAATGGACTTACATCCTCTGACAGCATTCCTTGCAGACTTTCCACTGCTACAGAATTGCCACCACAGCATGGCTCAGCCTTGCTCACTGCTACGTTTGCTCATGCAGATGCTGCACTTAGAGTGCCCTCAGCTGGTAGCATTGCTCCTGCTGTTCCACCTCTCTCTACCTCTTTGCTCTCCCTTTCAGCCACAGTACATGCTGCAGCTGCTGCCGCTGCACAGAGCTTTCCCTTATCCTTTGCTGGAGCTTTCCCAGTCATACCACCAGGGGCAGCAGCAGCAATGGCAGCATCTGCAGCCACAGCCATTGCATCTCCTATGTCCGTCTCTTCCAGTCCTCGGCAGGCTGGCAGTGGTGCAAACAGTAAGCCTTACAGGCCATGGGGAACTGAAGTAGGAGCATTCTAAGCTGCTGTCTTTAAGTGAACTCATTTTATTTGTTGTCTGTTTTTAATCGGTGTGCGGGACGTGCATACCTTGTAAAGATATATAAAACTTCATGCTGAAACATATACAAGTGGATTTTGAGAATGTCAGAACTCTATCTTTAATTATATTGTTTGTACACGTGGGGTGTCAGATCACTGCATCCATGCTAAAGTATACAGAATATATGGATGCATCTACAGTCACCTTTGGCAAGCTTCAGTTGAACAAATGTAATATTCATGCCTGAAAAGATCCACGGTGAGACCTAGTTACAACTGAAATAACACGACTTCTGGTGCGATCTCTCTTTGACATGTTAACGTTTCTGCAGTTTGATAAGGATGTACGCAGACCAGTATTAACCGAGTTATACTTGACTCTTATATGTGTGCGCATCAAAGAAATTTGATGGGCAATGGTCTATCGATTGATATGGTGGCCAAACTTAAGGAGATACTCCCTAAGATTTTGCCAACCCACTTTTATTTAAAGTTCTATATTGTTTTGGTTTTCTCAAGTGTTTGTTTAAAAAAAACAAAAAACTTCCTTAATTGGGTGATTTTTTTGGTAGTCTATGATAAGTTAATGGTTTGATGTAGACTACATAGATTGTCAAGATTTCCTACTGTTTATGAGAAGCTGGATACGGCCACAGTCTGTTATCTGTAGTTTGGGCACAGAGGGCTTATGTATAAAGTGCAATTCCTGGACAAAGCTAAAAAAAAGCAGAGTGATCAACGTAGAAACAAATGGAACGTTCCTACAGATAGAACTCATGGTTCTTTGCTCTAAACTTTGTGGTACACAAAACTGTACATAAGGTTTTTTTTTAAAGTTGTCATAGTCTTAAGGTTTTGCACTAATCTCATCCAAACTGCATTGCAGATGATCTTGGTGCGTTGGCATGTATATCATGCAATGCCCCCCAACAGAATACTTAAAAGCATAACTTGTGATCTATACATTTGGAAGCAATTTTGCATTCTAGAGAATCAGTCCTCTTCTATTTATGTAAAACACAGCTTTAAATGGTGTCTGTTTCATTCTGTTTCAAATCAGTGCCAGATTCTATAAAATATTGTTATTCACTTTATTTTTACCATCTAACACATCTACCCGGCAGTACCAAAAGTCCTTTTTCTCTCCAGTTATTTCAATGTTGCCAATGCCACTGGAGTGTCAGAAGACATGTTATTACCCTACATTTGCTTAGATCTACAAATAGTCATTGTAATTACACCAACAGCCATCCTAAATATACTAATTGCAACCTAGGATTAGTATGTACACGCATCTATGGCTGTGCCTGTCCCCTTTACACTGGAAAACTAATTTATAGCCATTAAATAGATACATTGGCATCTTGAATTATGTAATTGACTTGTTTCTTAACTTCTTTATTACATCGTTTAATATACGTGTTTGTCCCACTATCATATAAATTAAATATATAACTTATTCCCTTAATATGCTAGCCAGCAGGCTTGGGGGTCAATTAACTTTAGTTGTTATTTTTAACTTGAGTAAATTGTCCTTTAGTTTGGCAAATGTGTGTCTTTTTCTGTTTTGTTTTTCCTGCTACGTGTGTAACGGAACTGCTGGCACCCCGACCAGGTACCTTCCGCTGATGGATGCTCCTAGTGCTTTCCGAGGACTCCAAGCACTCTGCCCGACACCATAACCACTGCAGACCCCACAAACCGCCACAGCTTGGTTGGGGTTTCGCCGTCTCCACCCACTCTGGACCCAAGACCCAGGTCCAGCTTCCAGTAGGTCGAGCTCTCCGAATTCCAGAGAGCAGGAACAGGAACAAGCTCTTAGCAGAGCTTAGTGATTATACCCTGGGGAGTATAGTGATTATAGCAATCCCCAGTGTAGTTCTCCAATCCCCCAAACATGAGCCAAAACTTCATGAAGGTACAAGATGATCTGCCTCCAATGAGCGTTTATTACTCCTTATATACAAGATTGTAGGCCAGAGGCACACCCCCTGGACCTGGTGGTAAACTGTGACAAAAGGAACACAAACCAATGGGAACACTAATTAACATAATAACACTCCCACATACACAATGAAATCCCTCCTCTCCATCCTGGAGATAATTGGCTTAAGGCACGGCAGTAAACTCAATTATCTCCAGGTACAGAAAATATCTATGTTTTACACTAACAGCAAAAATACATAAAAGTACATAAAAATACATAATTCTTATTATATTACACAGAACCCCACAATTAACCCTTCCCCAGATAGCTCAGATCTGCGCCCAACAGCGCAGGTGAACAGCGCTCAAATCCCATGAACAGAGTAAATTTGCCATGGGGTAAAGCATAGCAAGGGCTGTTGAGAAACCAAGGAGGGGCAAAAGCAGTCAGTTCCAACTGGTTTGGCAGTGTGCCTGGGACAACGCCCTGCTGGAGAACAATAGACAGGAAATGGGGGAGGGGAAGAAACACATCTTCCCATGGATTCAAATGGGCAGAAACAGTCTTTAGAACCCAATAAGCCCGAAATAGTCTTTTTAAATGACAATACACCCCAGGGCCATAGTCATGAGGAAGGAGGCTGGCAATCCAGCTCCTCCAACAGCCGGGGGCAAAGGGTAGCTTGTCACCTAACAATCTAGTGACAAAAGGCATTTCGTCACAACGTGCTTACAACCTTGTTACTAGCCTCTGGAATGAAAGCAAACTTGCTTTTGTGGAGTCTCTCAGGACTATAATGTGATGATATGGGCGGCCCTCGGTTGAGGTGTAAGTAGGATAGCACATATATAATTATTTTTTTCTATTATAGTTCACATGCTGACCTGGGTCTTCCTAATCTTAGTGCAATCGCATGGCTCCTAGACCAAATTGGGATGGTTGTCGAGATCATTTCCAATAGCCATTGTTAAACCATTACCCAATCTAAGGGGACAACGGTTTAGAAAAGGTATCACAATATTTTTCCTGTTTGCTATTAAAGGAAGGTGAGACTATATTTTCTTAAACACAAAGACCGTAAGCAAGTGTAAATCTGGGATAAAATGGTATAATGGACTAGTAATTTGGGATAATTCCACTTGTTTCCATGGTACCTGTTGTATTATGCTTTGCAAAAAACTACATTTTCCAAGCAGATAACCATCTGACACTGGTATACGCTGCAACTAATGTTCAAATTCATTAAATATACTACACTTACAATGTTACAGTCTCTTCATTCATTGTAGAGTAATCCAGACTTGGTTCTTAAAAAAAAAAAAAAAAGAAAAGAAATCAACAAAAATCACAAACATACAATAAAATGTACACTGTTAATGAAATTCTGATGTACCTGTATGTATGATTTAATCAATTGCCCCAAGTTCCTTGTTCAGTAGAGTATACCTGGAAAGGATGTCCTTAGTAGTTCACAGGTCGCCATTCAATGCTTAATTACATGCTGGGATGGAATTGAAATAAAAAAAATAATCCTATAGCTAAACCCAAAAAGAACTAGAGGGCAGTAGGAAACTTGTATTTTATAATTGACAAACACATGGACTCTTTTCTACCAGGACAGGTAAAGTATTAAAATCTGCTAATCCACAAGATAATAACTTTTTCTACAGATTTTTAGAGCTTTTTCTACGGATTATTGGAAAGGTCTCTTAAGAGGGAGATTCACTTTGACTCTGTTTGCCAAATGCCTGGGTGATGTGGATGCAGTAATCAAGCAAGCTATGGTTTATTTTACTCAGAGTTTGTGTTTTTATTTTTGTTTCATTTTGTTTGTTTTTTTACATTTAAAAACACAGCACGTATAATTATGCACATGTAATTTCTCTGCTGTGTGGAGAAAGCAATAAATGTTTTGAGAATGTTAAACATTATGCAAGCGATATTTTAAAAATATTTGTTTTATAAATACAGTACACTAGTAATTAGTTGTTTCATTTGTTCTTTACTTTGTAACCTATTTTCTATGCAAAAAAATATTTACATATAACTAATTAAAGGAAGTGTTTTCTGACTAAATTTGGTGGTGATTAAGCTTTTGTTTCTGTTTGTTGTTATGTTTGTGTGTTTGAGTTATTTCTTAAAAAATTTGTTGCAAATTCATGCCAGAGTATCAGTGTTGTACGAAAGCCCAGGAAGGCCATGTATTTTTATTAATATTCTGACTTTCGATGAAAAAACTAATTGTTTTCTTAAAAACAAAAAAAAAAAAACACAACAAGCTTGTTTTCTAAACATAACAATTTGATTTATGAAGAATATTTTTTTCCACTCAAAATCTTACATTTGCCTGCACACTGCTGAAAATATTAGGTAGCAGGTTTTAGCCTCGGAACCTATTTTCTATTTAAATGTGTGTGCTACCTGATTGAAATCATGTCAGGCAAATTGAAGAATTCTTCTACATAAAACCACTTGTTATATTGCGAAAACAGCTTGTTATATCAGGTAAACAAGTTAATCTTTTTTGTTTTCTCGAGATAAGTAGTTTTCTCAACATAACAAGTCAGAAAAACATTTAAAATACATGGCATCTCTGGGCTTTAGTAGCATTGGAAACAAATATTGCCATTTTAATTTGGCAGGATTTACATTCTTACCATACTTTGGCCAAAGATTTGGGACACTTAACTTTTCACAAATCATAATGTATTTTCCTTAGTTATTGGTTCCTTAAGGATTAATATGAAAACAATTGTAACAGTAAAATGTTAACAAATATGTAATTTTGTTTAAAAGCATCTCTTTGTTAAAGCGTAGCTTTCCATTAATTCCCGTTTCATCTGCTACCTTAAGGTAGTTAATGACCATAATTAACTGCAGTGGTAAACTATCTGGTAGAGTACCCAGGTGCATCTTGCCACGAAAGTGAGGAACATGGCTTATGAGGCAAAGAAGGAGCGAGGCCAGTTTTAGAATCATTGGATCACTATGTCTCAATACAACAATTTAATCCCATCTCACTCTCAACAGCCAATTTCAGAGGATCTCCAAGAAAAAGTATTTAATGGAAGCAACCAACTGTGTGGTCCATGCCATTATATGGAATGTTACACTTGCTGTTAGATGGATCAAAGTAGATTTTGTGTTGAAAAAAAAAATGTATATGCAGTAAGAAAAACAAAAAAGTTATACTTTCTGGAAAAATATTGCTCTGGGATGTAAATATATCTGCCAGGAGATTGACCATTGCATCTTCTATTTAGACAATGATGCTAGACACATAACAATTTTACAAGAAATGGTTAATTGACCACAAAATCATTTAGCGGTTTCCTTTTCAGGTTTCTCCGGTGCCAATTGGCACATCTCAAAACTGTGTCTCTAAGCACTTAAAAATACTAACAGTAATTTACACATTGTGTGATGCCAGTGTAGTTGGAAAATAATCTTAGAATCTCTTATTAAACATGGAGTAGGTTAACTCAACTGAGACGTTGCAGCCAGCATTACCATTAGTATGATATGTCTATGTAGTAAGAGACCTAGTTGCTGGTGGGGCTCAGTTGAGCCTTTGTTCTCAAAGTTGATCTCCATTTTTTTTTTTTTATTTATGATTTTAAATATATTTATTTAGGAAGGAGAAATATATAAACATGGAAATGAAGAGAACAATGGAGGGAAGATAGAGACACTCTAAGAGAAGAAAACCAGAAAAAAGAAGAGCGACATGCAAGGGGGAAAAATAGAAACAGTAGGGTTTACAGAGAGACATTGTTAGTGATGAAAGTCAAAAAGGGGGAAGTGTCATAAAAATGGGAGGATGAGGAGATGGAGAAAGATACAGAGAATTGGGGTTAAAATAGACTTGCAAAAAAAGAAATACCGTAGATAAATATATAAACATGGAGATAGACATTAGAGACTTAAAGAGACACCTTAGGGAAATAGAGACACGAAGAAAGTCACTGGTGGAGTAAGCCTTACTCATTTGAGACTATACAGTTGCAAGAAAAAGTATGTGAACCCTTTGGAATGATATGGATTTCTGCACAAATTGGTCATAAAATGTGATCTGATCATCATCTAAGCCACAACAATAGACAATCACAGTCTGCTTAAACTAATAACACACAGAATGAAATGTTGCCATGTTTTTATTGAACACACCATGTAAACATTCACAGTGCAGGTGGAAAATGTATGTGAACCCCTAGACTAATGACATCTCCAAGAGCAAATTGGAGTGAGATGTCAGCCAACTGGAATCCAATCAATGAGATGAGATTGGAGGTGTTGGTTACAGCTGCCCTGCCCTATAAAAAACACACATGTGAATGATGCCTCGCACAAAACAGCTCTCCGAAGACCTACGATTAAGAATTGTTGACTTGCATGAAGCTGGAAAGGGTTATAACAGTATCTCCAAAAGCCTTGCTGTTCATCAGTCCACGGTAAGACAAATTGTCTATAAATGGAGAAAGTTCAGCACTGCTGCTACTCTCCCTAGGAGTGGCCGTCCTGTAAAGATGACTGCAAGAGCACAGCGCAATACTTAAAACACAAGAATGGATTTCATGGGAGGATACCACAGAGGAAGCCACTGCTGTCCAAACAAAACATTGCACGTTTACAGTTTGCACAAGAGCACCTGGATGTTCCACAGCAGTACTGGCAAAATATTCTATGGACAGATGAAACCAAAGTTGAGTTATTTGGAAGAAACACACAACACTATGTGTGGCGAAAAAAAGGCACAGCACACCAACATCAAAACCTCATCCCAACTGTGAAGTATGGTGGTGGGGGCATCAAGGTTTGGGACTGCTTTGCTGCGTCAGGGCCTGGACGGATTGCTATCATCAAAGGAAAAATGAATTCCCAAGTTTATGAAGACATTTTGCAGGAGAACTTAAGGCCATCTGTCTACCAGCTGAAGCTCAACAGAAGATGGGTGTTGCAACAGGACAATGACCCAAAGCATAGAAGTAAATCAACAACAGAATGGCTTAAACAGAAGAAAATACGCCTTCTGAAGTGGCCCAATCAGAGTCCTGACCTCAACCCGATTGAGATGCTGTGGCATGACCTCAAGAAAGCGATTCATACCAGACATCCCAAGAATATTGCTGAACTGAAACAGTTCTGTAAAGAGGAATGGTCAAGAATTACTCCTGACTGTTGTGCACGTCTGATCTGCAACTACAGGAAACGTTTGGTTGAAGTTATTGCTGCCAAAGGAGGTTCAACCAGTTATTAAATCCAAGGGTTCACATACTTTTTCCACCTGCACTGTGAATGTTTACATGGTGTGTTCAATAAAAACATGGCAACATTTAATTCTTTGTGTGCTATTAGTTTAACCCCTTCAGGACAGAGTCAATAGTGCACGTTCTGATCAAAACAAAACGTAAACAAAAACTGGAATTTGCGTTATATGTCTGTTCAACCGTAATTAACCTCTTCCATATTAAATGCACCCATACTTATTATATATCATTTTGTTCAGGAGAAAAGGGGCTTTCATTTCATATCAAATATTTATATATGAAACAGAATTTAATATGAATAAAATTTAAAAAACTGTGAGAAATTAATTTTTTTTTTTAAAATTTGTAGTTCCGCCTCACATTTTAGCTGTAAATTTCATAATACTGATTGGTTTTACTGCAAAAAAATGCACATATTTGTAATCAACGATGTCTCACGAGTATAACAGTACAGGGTCAAATATAGAACGTTCCATTTTCAAATTGAAATTTGCCAGATTGTTAGACGGTGTGGTAGCCCAGGAATGAGAATTACCCCCTGTAACGGACCGTTTCAGCACACAAGGGGTTAAAACCGTTTAGGCGATCTTCCCCTTCCAGAGATGCAGGCACAGCTACAGTAGGACACCAAACTCCCGAACTGCAAATAAGGGAATGCTCCAATCTCCCGAACTGCATACAATATAGCACTCCAAACTCCCAAACTGGAACCATACGAATAGCTGCTAGCAGACAAATAGGAAAAGCACCCAAGCGGCTTACACTCCTAGCAATCAGTCTTTATCAGCATTCAGTAAATCCCCCCCAAAGACGAGACAAGGCTCCGTGTTGTGGGCCAAGCAGTGGTCTGTTTAATGAGGGCTACCTGCCCAGTATTTATGCAGGTCTCCCACCTGGTGGACACTCCCCTAGGGGACCAAATGGGAGACTGTGACAAAAGACAGACAATCAGCAAAATAGGACACACAGTCACATTATATTCCCACAATGCATCCTGGCTTCCTCCCCTCTGCCCTGGAGATAATTGAGAAGTAATTCAATTATCTCCCAGGACAAAGGCAAATCGCCATTATGCATGTGGGGATACTAAAATAAGAATTACTGTTAAAATACACTATGTGACACAAGTTATAATAAAACTATATGTAACGGAACCGCTGGCACCCCGACCGGGTACCTTCCGCCGACGGATGCTCCTAGTGCTTTCCGAGGACTCCAAGCACTCTGCCTGACACCATAACCACTGCAGACCCCACGAACCGCCGCAGCTTGGTTGGGGTCTCGCCGTCTCCACCCACTCTGGACCCAGGACCAGGGTCCAGCTTCCAGCAGGTCGACCTCTCTCCGAATTCCAGAGAGCAGGAACAGGAACAAGCTCTTAGCAGAGCTTAGTGATTATACCCTGGGGAGTATAGTGATTATAGCAATCCCCAGAGTGTAGTTTCTCCAATCCCCCAAACATGAGCCAAAACTTCATGAAGGTACAAGATGATCTGCCTCCAATGAGCGTTTATTACTCCTTATATACAAGTTTTCAGGTCAGAGGCACACCCCCTGGACCTGGTGGTAAACTGTGACAAAAGGGACACAAACCAATGGGAACACTAATTAACATAATAACACTCCCACATACACAATGAAATCCCTCCTCTCCATCCTGGAGATAATTGGCTTAAGGCACTGCAGTAAACTCAATTATCTCCAGGTACAGAAAATATCTACATTTAACACTAACAGCAAAAATACATAAAAGTACATAAAA